GTGGCCTGCAGCCAAGGAATGCTCCAAGCCCCGTGCTGCCTGCACCGGATGACTTTCACCACCGAGGCAATATTTTTTGCCTTTATAAAACTCACAGAACAAGTATTACAGGATGTTTTAATCAGCACGAGCAGATGGCTCCCTGCACCCCGACCCTGCGGAGGGCTGTGCAGCAGGGCCAGGGTCTGCACCGGGCAGGCGCTCTCCTTGCCCCATGTGCTGGCACTGGATGTACCGGTGGTTTGGGCACTCCACGGAGTGCCATTTCCAGCTGAAGGTCTCCACCAGGGGTTATCCTGGCTGCCTGCCGCCAGGCCAGGGGGTTTTGGAGTGGAGAAGGGGTCTGGGCAGGTGCCCTGGCAGGGACCTGCTGCCTTCTGGGCACAGCATCGCCCACGCCAGCCCAGCTCACAGTTAAAAAGCGTGACAGAAAAAAAATGCAGCTGTTTACATTCTTGTAGCCTGTAAAAATTTTTAGATATATCTGTCTGATTAAAAAAAAACACAACAAAAGCTTATTTAGATGTGTTTACTTGGTGCAGAAATTGCCTGGCATGTCAAGCATAACTAAAGTACACCAGCAGTTTGGTTACGCATCTTGCAGCTTTTCTTTTTTTTTAGTATCTCCTGAAGTAATGTATTGAGAATCTCAGTTTTCAGTGGTGCCAAAAGAAGAAAACTGCAGTCGCTGGGAAGTGAATGAAAATAAAAGCCTTAAAGACACTCTAAGCTGAAGATAAATACAGACAATAGAGTGTTAATATAGGGTTTAAGTAGAGGATTTTAATAGACAAACCCAATGTTTGCCTATTAAAAACATGAAATGTTAGGAGTCCTCCACCAAAGTACTCTAGTTCCATCAAGAATCTTCAAGGATTTATTATTATTATTAATATTGTTTGATAGCAACAGTGAAGCTACAGTGATCCTTCTAAGATGTCATCCTTTTCATGGCAAGAGAGGTCTTGCAGTCAACCTTGACTGCAATATATCTTCTTTCCTCTTCATTGTCTCATCTACTAATATTTATGATCTCCAAAATAAAAAGCATCAATTCACCATTAAGTTCCTCAAGCAGACTTTGCAGTTGATAAATCCAGGCCTGTGAGCTTGATTTTGTTCTGCTGAGTTAGTTTTAAGTGTGGATTTAAGGACTGTTGAAGCTATCGTGACATCTCCAGAACTCTACAGCGTAAGGGAGGGAACACAGACTTCCCCCTACGACCCTCCTCTGCTGCACTACACGATTCTGGGTGGTTTTAGAAGGCTCTTTATTTCCAACAACTGTGTGTGCTCATCAAAAGCAGTTTGTATTGGAACTTTTTTCCACCCCCAACTTTTCATTAGACGCGCACAATACTGAGCTATTTACACTTTATTTTTAATAGCTGCAGCAGAAGATTCTGCTCTGCGCACCCGAGTGCACACAATAAAATAGCTGTTTGGCAGGGGGAAAATGCCCTCTTGTCCTGCAGTACCAGTTGGTATTATAGAGGTTTGTTCGGTGTCTTATTTATAGTAGATTGCGATTGGAAATGCGATACAAAACAAACACCAATGTTCCAGTGGCTTAACCGTGCATCAGATTTTTACTTTGATAGTTATTTTTATTTTCATCATCTTTTATCATGACTTGAAAAATTACAGCAGTGAAGGGGACGGTCAATCTGCTGAGGTCTCAGCATCCATGCTCTTAAGAGAGAGATAATGTTCCGTGTCCTGCCCTCCAGGAATGCTCTGGGCAGATTTGTAGTTGAGCTGGTGCTCCTTGACAGTGCTGGTAGAGACAGTTCATTCCAGAGACCTCGTGCTGGTAGTGAGAATCCTGTGAATGGAAAGTTTATAACCTTTGCTTCTCTGTTGATTTATGGGGTTTTTGTCTTATTGCATATCAAAAGCCCTTTTTGAAGTGTCTGTTTAAAAATCTGGTTTCCTTTAAAGAAAAGGGGGCCCAGTTTTGAAACTCCTGAGGGCTGCTTGCTTGGAATTTTTTTTTGGAGGGATAAAAAAATGCACAAACCCCACATTTTTTTTAGAAGTCTAGCTCAGTGGCAATACTACTAAGGCAAGTGTTTTGTAGAGAAACGGTGTCCAAGTATTTCTAGTCAGATTTCAAATAAAATCCTAATTGGTTTTTCTCTCTTTTGGTCTGCTGTGGCTTCCAGCTCCTACCTTCGTGCATTACTAAGCAATAAACATTTCTTGGCTCACTTACTGGCTCTTTGTTGTGTGTGCTTCCAACATGTGTGAGGGAAGCCTTCCTTCAGGAGAAGGACTGAAAAAACTGGTTAAGGCAGCGAAGACCAAAAATGAATCATTTCATTACTTTTTAGCCTGCGGTTGGAGCAAACTCTGTTGTCTGCTCGGTTTAAAATCAGATGATTTATACCCGAAAGGTGCACATGAGCCTTTGCAGTAGTTTTAAACGTTTTCAGAAATGCCTTTGGATAAAATGAAAGGGAGAATTCTTTTTGGTGCTGTTCGGTTTTGAGGATGTTTTTGGCTTACGTATGTTTAAGAAGGTGCCACAGGCCTGGTCAAGCAGAGAGTCCGCTGGGTTCAGGGCTGTTGGATGTGGTTGAACACCGTCACCCACATCTCTCCCATCTGCAGTCAGGTGGATGTGCATGGATACTGCAGTATGTCCCTGGAAGGTGATGGGCTACAGCAGGAGATTTTGATAGTTCTATTTTTTTTTTTTTTTTAATTTCAGTGTTTTTCTGAACTAGAATAATATTACCAGCTTTATTTTTCAAGCTCATATTTATACACACACACACACAAAGGAAAGCCTTCACCCTTTCAAAGAGATGCCTGGATATACACCTAGAGAAGAGGATGGTGCGTATCTCATCTTACAAAGGCCTGACTGTTTTCTTGGATATGGGTATGGTGAATGAGCAAACACTGAGTATCTGAAGTCCTTCCTCAAGCAATAAATATTCACTGATCTGGCTAAAGCACTGTTTACTCTCTGAACAATTCGAGTCTGTCTCTATTAGCAGAGAAATTCCTTCCAATATTTTTCCTGGTCAGTTGTTGGATGGAGGCTGGCTCTGCTTTCAAAGCGCTTGTCTTTGAAGCGCATCAGGTTACCCTGAGGTAAAATGGAAACCTTAGATGTTACTCCTGTAAATAAATGTTTACATAATACATGGCACTGAACTTCTCAGCATTGCATGTCTAAGAAAAAAGGTCACTTTTGACATCAGTAACCTTTAGAGAGAGGTGCCTTTGCCACACAGGTAAAGAAAGTTACTGTGCACAGCACATTCCTTCACTAGATCAAGAAGGTGGGAGAAGTCAGATCTTACTGCTTACATCTCCCAAAGCTTGGCATTTTAAGCTGTGAAGGCAAGACTGGGTTTAAGGCATGGGTCTCCTGTAAACAGCACATGCCCAATTTTGCTCATGTGAGTAATTCCATTGAATTCCCTGGCACTAGTGGTGTATGAAAAGCCAAGTGTGTAATGTATGTGTTTGTGGGGTCAGGGCCTCAACTCTTCATTTCTAAATGAGAAACTTCCTGTAAAGCATTCCTGGCAACAGAAGATAATGGTTTTATCTCTCTTTAGTTTTGCCGCTTTTGTGTCAAAACACTTGCCCAGCAGCAAACATAAAAATATTACCTTCCTATAAAACAGCAGCAAAACTGCTGTGGTGTGAATAAATTAAGGATTTCTGCCTGAACTTAGTCCAGATGTGTAGCAGAAGAGGGAGCTTGGTGTTCCCCTGTTCCACGGGGCAAACAACATCTGGACTCTTGGGTCTGTTGGGTGTTGGGGGCAGAGCCCATGAACAAGTACATCAGCTCAGCCACTCTGTGATACAGGGGAACCATCGGCAGGCCCGTGCTTTGGGTTGTGGATGCAGTGGAACAGGAGATCCTGATGATAAATGTGTTTTTGCTGCTTTTCTGTTTAAAATATTGGCAAAACCTGTAGGTTTTCAGACACTGAAAAAAAAAATGAGGTAGGATTTATGATGTTGCAGCCTTCTGCCTTCATATATTAGTTGAGTTTTATTCAAGGAATGCAGAATTAGAAGCACAAGTGATTAGCCCCACATGTGCCCGTGACAAGACTTTTGATGTGCATTGCGTTCTTTTGGATTGCACAGTTCCTTTGTCACTTCCCTGTCCATCTCTCTCATTCCTCCCCTGCCATTTAGAGATAAAAGTTTGTTCAATTTCAGTCGCTGTTGTGATGCCCGGGCAGCCTTCCTCGCACGGCAGGAGCAGTCGGGGAGCCTCGTTTACAGCTATGGGGCTGGTCGGGTTTTCCTTGGGGGGCATTATTTCACATGTTTAATTCTCTCTCATGTTCACATGTTTGATTCTCTCTCATGTTCACATGTTTAATTCTCTCTCATGTTCGCGGTGCCTCCTGTGTCATATTAATGAGCCCTGGCCGAGCACACAGTGCGCCCTTTGTTGGGGCGCGGGGCCCGTCCGTGAGGGAGCGGGATGGCGGCGGGAGCGGGGCCGGTCCCTGAGGGAGCGGGATGGCGGCGGAGCGGGGCCGGTCCCTGAGGGAGCGGGATGGCGGCGGGAGCGGGGCCGGTCCCTGAGGGAGCGGGATGGCGGCGGAGCGGGGCCGGTCCCTGAGGGAGCGGGATGGCGGCGGAGCGGGGCCGGTCCCTGAGGGAGCGGGATGGCGGCGGGCATGGCGGGCGCAGGTGGCCCGCGCTGACGGGCGGTCACATGATGGCGGGGAACGCCGGCCCGGCCGCCGCGGCCCCGGCGCGGTGCGGGCTGTGAGGGGAGCGGGGAGCCCGCCCCGCTCTGACCCCCGGGCGGGCCGAGCGCCCCGGCCGCGGCTGTGAGGGGCAGCGCGGCTGCCCGCGGACCGTGCCATGGGGCCGAGCGCGGGGACGCGGCCGCGGACGAGCCCGGGCGGCCCGCGCTGAGCCCCGGCCGCACACGCGGAGCGGGGCGGAGGCGGCGCCGCTCTCCGAGCAGAACCGCGGGCGGTGCGGATGGAGGGGCCGGATCTGGGTTATGAAACTGCGGGGCAGCGCGAACGCAGCCTGGTGCAACCCCCGGCGCCGCTGCCCTTAAGGTGGTTTTCGTGATCCTGTTGCTAGGATTAAGCCTTTTGCGTTGCCGCATGGAGAGTCTTTTGTTTGAGTTAAATTCAGACCTCTTGATATGTCACCTGACAGTCTTGTGGTTTTGGATGAATATGGCTCATTGCTATTATTAACCTGAGTTGGCAGCCGGGCACAACAGGAGTTTATAGGGATTTCGAAAAGTGGAACTGCTCGGGGGACAAAGATGCTTCCCAGGTACGGTCACTGCACACTTCTTGAGATTATTTTGATTTTTTTTTTTTTTTAAAGCTTATTTTCCCTGTGATGAAAATGTTTCTTTTCCAGAGATATGAATATTTTCATATCTTTTACAGACTTAATTTTTAATAATTTTTATTATAATTTCATGCTAAATGGCACGAATAATTTTTTTCCCTGAATTGATTCTGTCTGTCGTAATTTTGCAAAGGGAAGTGCAGTCTGCTTGAATAATGTAAAGCATTGTGTTCAGTGCTAGTGAATTTAACTGAAATGAGCTGTCTCACTTGTGTGTGGTTTTAATTAAAACAGGTATTTCAAAAGAGCACGGAGCTTGTGTGTGTATGTGCAAATATTTGCATGCATATGTTTGACTAAATCAGCTAAAAGCTGAGCAGGTGATCCTTAAAATGACGTGAGGTAGTCCGGAAAATATTTTATGAAATTGCTAATACTGATTGTAAATTCTGAAGCTGTGTGAATTGCAAAGTTACTCAACATGCTACACATTTTTAAAAAAACCTTCCCACCAACTTATTTTCAATATCACACTCCAGATTATGATTAATGTATTGACTAGGCTGCACCTAACCTGTAAATATTATGTCTTTTTGCTTGTGAAAAGGCATCTGGCTCATGTATTAGACTTTAGAGTATAAATGAGGTATCTTAATGAGAGTCAAGTGACTTGGTAGAAGGGAGAAAAAAATGAAAACAAGCTAAAGTCCGCTTCATACACAGTTAAAGACCTGGCCATAACCAAGGAGCTTGGAAGGCAGTCCAGGTCGGGTTTATTGTACCGCCTGTGGAATACCTGGCTGGTGCACTCTCTGTGCTTAGGATAAGCAGCACAAGTTCCTGGAGCTCAAGAAGTGCAGCTATTCCAGGTGAGGATTGCTAAGCTGGTAAATGCCTGAGGCAGACTTAGGGATGGAGCAGGGAGCTGAGCTGCTGTGCTGCCGTGCCTGTGGACAGGTCACCCTCCTTCAGGAGAGGGAAAGGGGAGCGCTGGGGTGTCATTTATGTCACAGGAACGTCGTTCCCATGTGATAACGCTGAAACGTGTCCCCGCTGGGAGCAGTCAAGGGTGGCTGTCCCTGGGGTGATCCAGAATGTGTCTGCTCTTCCAGGCTGCCCAGAACACGGGTCCTGTGACTTGTGTGGAAGCCTGGCCGAGGTCACGGTGGCAAAGGGCAGCGTCACCCGAGTGCTGGGCGAGCTCCTTCGCAATCCAGCCTCGAGGGCTCCTCCCTGGCCCTGCCGAGGCTCAGTCGCTGGTTTTCTGTGCAGAATCAGCAAGTGTTCACCACCAGTCACTGACGTGACCTCAGCTCTCGTAAAGACAGTTATCTTGCAAAATTTTTGCTAAGTGAAGGCCCCGTGGTTTCTCATCTCTAGGGATCTTCTTCCTCCTCGCAGCCTTATGGTTGTGTTATGTCACCAGCACTTAAATGGAATCTCTCTCTTAAAAGGCCAACCTTGCAAATTGGTGGTGCTGCCTGGATCATCCTTGTCATGTGAATCCTGAGAAAGTTCTTTTGTGTTTCAGGTGTTATTGCTAAAAAAAAAAAATAAATAACCTGCCCATACCTCTAAAAAAAAGATGGTCTTCAAAGGTGGAAGCTTTATTAACATGCAGTACAGTTCTGTTTTCATTGCTTCCAGATTACTTCCACACTGCTCTTTCAGAATGGTTTATGCAGCTGTTTTTGTACGATAATGGTCAAATAAAAGTGAATTATTTAAATGCAGTAGGAAGGTATTACAATATATACAATACCCTCTCCAGGTATCCTGTATACTTGACTTTTTTTTGTATCTTCTCAAAGCCAAAGGAAAGAAAATCCAGTAACAGAGAATAGAAATCTGGAGAGGAGTTTGGGCAGGAGAAGAGAATTCCTTGTTGGAAAAGGCATCTCGGTCAGGGGTGAGAGGAGTGTGATATGGTGGTTGGACTAGGCAAGGACCATTTTCCTTCTGCACCTGATCACCCTTCCCTGCAACAAAGCAACTGCAGGATCCTAAATACTACTGGGCTGTGTAGGTGCAGGTGAGCAGGCGTTGGGGTGGATGCTCATCTCCATGGAGTGTGGAGATGGATCTGCATCCGACATCCCAGGGCGCCCCATGGAACAGCCCTGCGTTTACAGCAGCTCTTCAGGACAGGCACGGGCTCTGTCAGGTGACTGTGTGGAAGCTGGCTGGGTCTGCAACGCCGGTAATACCTGGAGAGTCATCTGCAGGAGCTGGAGATAAGCCCTGGAATCCCTGTGCCTCTGCTCTGCTGCTCATCCCGCAGGAGCCTGCGAGGGGAGCGCGGGGCAAGGTGGGCCCGCCGGCTGCTCTGCCTGGCTGTTCTGTCACCCTCTAAAAAGGTGCTAACATGAAAACCACGCAGAACAGATAAGCTGGCATAAACTATAAATATCATTTGCGTAGATGCATTTAAAAATAGTTCCAAGTGATTCATCACCAGGCAGTTTTTATAACTATGGGTAACATGATGTAGGAAAACAATAGTTTGATAGTTTCAACTTACTTTTTCAATGTGTAGTCACGTTCTGGTTTTGAGCAACTTTACCTTTTAGAAAACTCTTTTACAATTCCTACCTGCTTAATATCTTGACCAGCTTGCCTCAGTTACTTCCCTTTATGACTTCTAAAATATCTGTGTTTATTAAAACGTAATTGATACTATCTAAGCTGTGTTAATATAAAATAGTTTTAAAACTGAAGTCTCAGGCAGAAGAAGAAGTAATACTAAGCTAAAGCTTTCACATAATGAAGAAGTGCTGTTCGTATTGAAAGTGGGAATGAGGAGGAAGGGATGAACTTGCATTCAATTACAGGGGGAAATCCTGTATTTTAATTGATGGAGAGGCTGTAGTTTCATCTATTAAAACTTTCCCAGAGTGAAATAATAACCAATTTACAGTCATTCAGTTCTTGCTGAGAAGTGTCGATGGCAGTAATAAACCCCAGGAATTGGATACACAAGAAAATCCGTCCTTGGAGAGCATTTGGAGTTCTGAATTGCCATGAATCTCACAGTACAGGTGTCAGGAGGCACGTCATGGATCTGGAAATGTCAGCTCCAGGTAATATTTCTAGTCATTGAAGGTAAAAAAGGCAGGAAAACAAAAAGGGTGAAAGAGGGGAAGAGCTGAACAACAGTAGGGCTTAAGTGTGAACATACATTAAATATAATTTCTCAGACCTTGATTTTCTTATTATTAGTTTCTAATAATTTCATCTTTAATCATGTGGAAGTTTTCCATTCTGTCCCAGATAATTCCTTCCTTTTGCACTTTTTGTACTTGCATTAGCATCAGTGCAGGGGTGTTGGACTCCAGAAATCCCCTCCAACCTTGACCAGTCTGTCCCAGTGTGAGATCTGGGTTTATGCGATTTGTTTCTGAGACATCCGATACGGCATTTATACATCAGCGGATTTCTACCCCATACAGGTGTTTCTGGACATGTCATTCTAGAAGAATCCCCACGTGTAGTGGAGATCTCTCAGGAGCAGTGTCCTGCTCAGAAGGAATTTGGCTTTTGTTTCCCCCCGCCCTCCATGAACTCACAGCACTGTGTGGAAAACATCTTTCCACTGATGGTGAAAGATATCTGGGGTTTTCTTGGTGGTGGTTTTTGTTCAGGGTTTGTTCTTGTGTTTTCCTTTAAATCTAAGCATTTTCAAGGAAAGATCAAAGAGTGGCAGATAGGTCATGCAGGAGAAAGTTCTCATTAAGAAAGTGTCATTTCCAGAGAAATGGAGAGATGGAGACTCACCTTTCATTAACACTGCCAGAACATTTGATTCTACGTCTCCTGGTTTTCCTGAAAGAATCTCAAGAAAACATCAGTTAAATGTCAAAGTTAGTTTCCATTTATAAACAGAACTAATTATATTCAGAAGATCTAGGTCAGTTTTCATCTGCCTGAAGAGGAGCGCTGGAGTGCTGCCCTGGTATATTTGTTTTGAGAACGCGCCCTGCCCATTGCAGGCAGGAATTTCTCCGTTTCTGGGGATAATCTAGCCAGATATCAAGCTTAACGGTATTTTAAACCTGCTAACAACAGAAGCAGAGCTACTCTGTGTCCTGCTTCTCCCTCGCCGGTGGGGGCGAGTCGGAGGTGCCAGGCTGCCTCTGTTTACTGTCTGTCTAAATGAACTTTCCCCCAGCTCTCTGAAAGGCCCTTCTGGTTTGGGAAGTGGCCTGCTATTGCCAGGGAATGTTTTTGCAAGGCTGAAATGTGCTTAAGGATGCTATTATGTAACAGAGATAACGCTTCTTTGGAATTATCACAAATTATGATGGATAATAGCTACTAAATGCTTGTCTAGAGAAAGTTAAAATGTCATGTGAAGAAGCTGAGAAGTAAACAAGCTCTTGTTACCTTGATCAGATACGTTTCTGAATACACCAAGAGTTTTATATTTAGCTTTCTCTCCTCTTAGTGTGTAATCTGCTCTTGGAGCTTTTTATAAGTAGACTTTCCTAAGATCTGGAACAGCTACTGCCCTTCTTTGCCAGTAATTTCAAAGTCAAATATCAGAAGTACTAGGTAATGGAAGACATGCTTTTGTCTGAGTGTGAAGGAAATTCAGATGCATTGCAAGGGTGGAGCAAGCGATAGCACCTTTTTGGCAAGCAATTCCTTGTTATTGTCACACACTGTTTCTGTGTAGGAACCACAGTGGCCTATCTGGAAAAAAAATTAGTTTCTAGACTTCCCCTGATTTCATTTAAATATGTGGAGGCTGTTCTTCCAGGAAGCCAGTCTATCCCGAGGTTCTCCTCACCTCTAGCCAAAGTCATGCTCTTACCAGTTGCCATCCCCCAGCATTAGTGCCTTTAAGCCTCTCAGTTGGTAACCCCCAGACATGTTATAAACTCAGGGATTTTGGTTTCTTTTGCTTTCTGAAATGCAAGATGGGGCTCGTTAGCAGAGACCCCCTGTAAATGTAAGCCGAGCTCTGAGTTTTTCACTGTACTTGGGTTTTGGTCCAGAATTTGCCCAGTTGGGTGTCTGCTCTTCGTTGTGGGCACGTCCCTCTGCTGAGGACACTTGGCTTTAGGTGGCCAAACGAGAAGGTGCATGGCTCTTTGACCCCAAATCTAGACATCAAGTTATTTCAGCTTCAGGTTTCTCAAGGTTTTTTCTTGTAACAAGTTGATTTTGACATTTGTTGCACACGAGCTTTTCTGCGGCTTCTGTTTTTCTCTCCTGTTGCTAAACGGTGGGGCTGGGCAGATTAGGAAATGGATTTCCTCTCTCAGGAGGCTGAATAACTGTATGTCTTGAGGCTTAGTTTCACCCCACTGGACTACACTGGTTGTAAAGACTGTGTACCTATACTGGGCAGTCCTAAAAGCTTCTGATAGGCAGTGATGACTTTGGTGATCAGATTGATTTTCTGCTGTCACAGGAGTTGCAGGGTCATAATTCATCATGGGTGTAGAGGAGGAAACCTCTTGGGTGCTGAGTTAGAGGGAAAAATTCCCTGTTGTGTTGGAGTCCAGCATGCCAGGTTTGCCTTAATCCATATTATGGGTGTCTTTTTGCTGAAATAAATGTACAGCTGCTTCTTGTAAATTGGGAGCTTGTATGCTTCAGTAATGGCTGGAAAGTTCCAGCGTCTTGTTTATGGCTTCTTGGGGTTCCATGCTGCTGCTGCATGCCTAAAAGCCAAGGATAAGGAAGCTAGAATTTCACTTGATCTAGGAAGTGGCTTGTGAACTAGCTGAAAGATGATTCCTGGTGGTTTCATGGATAGAGCAGGTGTCTTGTTTCCTATCTTCCAAGAACAGAGAAGGTATCAGTGAAAATGGATTCCCAAGCCAGTGGGCAACAATGCTTGCTGGGCTTTAAAGTGATGGCTGGCTTTTTAAAATGGAAACTTAAGATGAGGGCTACAAAGCACCCTTCAAGGCAAGATGATGCAGTGATTGTCGAGGCTGAGCCCTGCGAGTTCTCCCTTTGCAGAGCTCCTCTGGAGCAGTGGCACTGGGGAGGGCAGCGGCCCACGAGAGCTCCTTCTCTTGTCACTGAATGCAGAACCAGTTTGGGAATAGGTGTGTCAGGACTGCTCTGTGTGGTTTGCTGACCATGGCCTGGAGTCACGGTGGCTGAAGTGGAGTGGACTAGGTGGTTGAGGTCCCTTCAACCCAAACCATCCTGTGATTATTATTCCTGGTGGTTTTTCGGTCTTCGAACACAGAAGCTGAGTTCTTCTATGACTTTGATTTTAAATAGCTGGAACTTGAGGAAAACATATCACGAGACAGAGCACAAGATCTGTTAATGCTGCAAAGATCATTTTATGTGGTTGTAGTGGATTGGTGGAGTTTATGACAGTGTAATTTGGCACGTGTAGGGGAAAGAAAAAAAAACAACAAAAGGCTTCGTTCTGGCCGCGGCATCAAAGGGTTTGATGAAATGGCGTTGCATTTGCTTGACTTTCTGTTTTAATCAAGTTGTATATACAGATAATGTAGGAATAACAGTGTAATAAAGAGTTGTGGTAATTGATCCTTCTGCTCTTTTCTTCTTTAATTACAGCTGGCCTTTGCCAGAGTTTGACCCAAGTCAGATCCGACTGATCGTGTATCAGGACTGCGAGAGAAGGGGACGGAATGTCTTGTTTGACTCCAGCGCTAAAAGGAAAATAGAGGATGTTTCAGTGTCGGTGAGTATTGTGCTGATTTACATGTTTGTAGTCTGTATTTCTTCAGATGGCCAGCTTGATAAAGCACATGTGTTCTGTTTTATTCACGTTGACATTTAAACGTTGGTTATATGCAGGGCTATATTTAAATGCCTGTTAAGTTGCAAATTATTCAGGCTTCAGTAACTTCACTCTTACCAGCTTTAAGTACTATAGTGATCTCTTTATTCTGGGGCTCATCTACTTTCTGCTCTTTCAGTGAGGAGGATTCCTTCCTGGGGCTGCAGCAGGCAATGCTGGGGGTTAAGGCAGGGCAGGAACTGGTATTTATGGACCTGCTTTTGTACTGTGGTGGGGTCTGCATTCATAATCAGAAGGTCCTCCCAGTCCTGTGTCCTGTTTGTTTAGCTTTTGCCAATTGTTGTTTGTGTGCTTTGCTGACAGTTTTTTTTTCCCACAAAGTTACTTGAAAACTTTCCTCTGTTTTTCGTTTTGGCATGGTTTGCATGGTAATCTATTAATTGAAACTGTAATGGATGCGGTCAGATGAGGATACTTCCTTCTAAGGGCTCTCTCTGGCCAGAAGATTAATTTCTAGCCACAGTGCTATTGTGAGTGGTGGTGTGAGGTTGGACAACTTATTTCGCTGCTTTGAATTTCCTTTTTACCATCTCTGAAAGCATCCACAAACCATTTTAAGCTCTGCAAGCAGAAAGCACGGTGTGAACTGAAATTTATGATTCCAGTTGCTTTTACCTGGAGGACCTACCAAGGTCCTTCTGTAAGCAGGAGTACACAAAATAGGTTTTCCTTTGGCTACTGGAATACAGCCAGAAGATTGTTCATCCAGCTTTGCAGACTGTCCCAGCCTGTTGCTGAGGGCTGCCAGCCTGATGCTCCTCACCCTGGTCCTGGGTGCTGCCTGTGTCCAGTACCCAAACCTCTGAAGTCACTTGGTGTCTTACCAGGCACAAACTTCGAGGCTTCTCCATTGCTTACTCCAGTGCTTTTATAGCTGTGAATCAGGATCCCAATTTCCTAGTTCTTACAGAGAATTTTTGAAGCAAAGCAAAGTTTCACAAATGTTGGGGAAAAAAATGCATCTCTATTTTTAGTTTAAACTTGTTAGAATGGTTTCATTAGTTCCTGTTCTTTCAGGTGTTCTTGCCGGGAAAACAGGTTTTTAAAGACAAAAGATCTTTACAAAGGGTTTATTGGTATGAATTGCTGGCTGTGCTTATCACTATTACCTCCTTAGTTATAAAGCATTATTTCATTAATGAAAAAGATGTACAGTGTAAATCCTCTTGCTGTATTTAAGTTAATTTGTTGAAAGCCTAAAGCCTCCTTAAAAGAGTTGTGAATTTGCACACTGAACTTGCAAACTTCACTGGTTTGGGTTATTTCAGGAGTTCATTGACTGTGGCAGCTCAACAACAAGAGGATAAATGGCTGATAATGAAGCTGATATGGTTCCATATTAATCTCTCCTTTCTTTTTCTATGCTAAGGGAGAGGGAAACAGCTGTAGTCACCATCTCTGTGAAATGAGTACTTGAGACTGGTGCAGGAAAACTGTTCCCAGGGCACTTGCAATATCCAGAATTCATCTCTGGGAACTTGATGTATTTCTTTTTTTTCATAGTATTAGGAGACTCTGAAAGAGGGTATATTGAAACCTTTGCTTGCTACAATACCTGCTTTCTGCAGCACTCAGATAATGTCATGTCAGGCAAAACTTCTGGTAAAACAAAACTTTGCAGGTAAAAACGTGCAGGAGAGTCCTCGGCTGGGCTTGCCCTGAGCTCAGCACAGGCCTGTGCAGTCAGCAGGACGTACTGGCCATTTTCAAGGAATTGCATTGTTTATTTTGCTCCCTCTTTATCATGATTTTCCTACCAAAGACACACCCTGCCTGTACAAAGCCAGATCTTGGCTCTAAGCACATTCCAAGGCACCCTTGCCCTTTTGCAGCAAGCTGTGTGTGGGCTGGGCACTCTCCCTTCTGAAAGGGTGTCTGTTCAGCACCCCACGAAAGCCAGTGCTTTCTGCATCTCTTCCCCCCGACATTTCCTAACAGGATTTATACCTCTGGATTTACAAATGACTCTGAGGGTGCTAAAGTGCCTGTCAGTGCCCAGCCTGTTCTGGTTGAAGGCTCATCAGTCTAATGTGGAGAATCAAGAGGGTTTCAGTTTGCTTTGTGTTGCTGTGCACTTCAGTTCCCATTTTCTGTTGTCATGAGACACAAAAGCAATTATAATTTAAGAGTTGTATGCCTCTGCAGCAAGGTGAGATATGTTTTGGTCTGTTTTATGTGTCTAATCTCTACATATGTCGAGAGTTATGTGCAGTGGAGCACGGTTGAACATGGCTCAGGCATTTGAATTCTGTTAAGGGAAGATATGGTTGGAAAATTTAAGGAGCATCAGAGCAAACCTTTCCAGACTCAGATGTTTTAAGAAATAAAACAGTAAGCTCTGACTTTTCGAAGAGTGAAAATTGCTGAATTTGTGCTCACACGAAGCTGGGCTCTAATTAGTTAAGCATTACTAGGTTCATCTTATCCAGAGGGAAATGTGACTGTAACACAAATAAGGACTCTGTGTTTTCATTGGTTATTAAATCAGCCTCTTCATGTCTTCAGTAAAGCTAAATATTAGGTAAACAAGACTTTGGGGAGGGTGCTGCCCAGCGGGACACTGAAGGCAGCTCAGAGTTTGCAGCAAGGCCATTACAATATCTGAAACGCTCAGGAGAAGTTGTGTTTTGCCCAGGTTTTGCTGGAGTTAAACTTGGCCAAGGAAGCTGAGCAGCAGTCTGGTGACTTGGAGGGCTGGCAGCTCTTCCCAACGCCGGGAATGTTGGCCCGGGGCTGTGCCAGGCGTTTCCACCGAGGCCAGGCGGAGATCCACCCCGGGCAGCTATGGCCACTTGGCATGGGGGAGGCAGAGAGATCCCCTTTGTGAGTCCTCTACCTTTTTTGGTGCTGAGCAGAGAGGTCCTTCCCCGGCTTTCCAGGGATGGGCCATTGATCAGCCGGGCTCTGGAAGCAGAGGGGAAAGGCTGTGCCTCCCTAGCATCAGAAAATTGGTTACCTCCCATATCTGAGTTCTTCCAGGATATCCCAGAAGAGAGTGTCTGCCTTTCCAGCCCTGTGGCACCAGATCATGAGCAAAGGGATCAGAACAGGCATTTGCACATGGAATGTACCAGGGCAGTGTGGGGTACAAGAAGCAGACATTACTGATGCCTTTATACACAGCCTCAGTCCCCACCCAAGCATCCACATCCCTCGGATTTTGGGGTATCAGAGTACTTCTACGGGCAAGCTCATGGGTTTGGGACACTGTCTCCTCTAGAGAGTTATTTCTTTTGTTCCTCATGCCAGTAAGTGTTTCATTTCTGGTGACACTGTATTACTTGATTTGCAGGTGATAGTGTTACACCCTGTGACTGGTTCCTACTCCAAGAGTCATTTCTGTGCGTGTCTGCTCCTGTCCTCCAACACCTCCTCTCCTGCTGTCCTGTCCCCCCTGCCAGCCCCTGCACGGTGCCCTGAGGGGTCTCACACACGTGCCCCGTGGGCTGGACCGAGTTCCCAAGGCAGGAGCTGTGTGGGCACAGGTGTGCTCCTCCAAAGCTGTGGGACCAGGCAAGACAAGGAATCAGAGAAGGGCAGTGACTTGTTGCCAGCACCCAGAGACAGGAGGGGATTTTCAGAAGCAGCATTTGTTTCGTTTTTTTGAAGAAATGAAAGCGTGACCTGGGATGCAGAATTTGAGACCTAGAGGTGCAGCAATGAACTTGGGTTTGGGGAGTGGAAAGTTTGCTTTTTCCATGTAACCTAGTTGTCTTTATATTCAGGATAATTTCACTGGAAGGTCACATGATATTTGATCTCCTACAGCGGCAATTTCTTTTACTCCAAATGTCATATTTATCCCAAAGTAGAGAAGTGGCATGCTGGTTGAAACAAGCCAGGATTAGCCACGTGTTCTAATATACTTCAGCACTGGATAAATGTTGAACAGCAAATTGCTTTGAGGGATTAGTAATTGGATAGTGAGCCTTTTGCTTTTAGGTGAGTTGTGTGAAATGGAGACTCTGGACTCTGTCTGGCTCTCAGGACAGGTTTCCACTGAGCCAGGCTGAGCAGATGGATAAAGCTGTAAGCACAGAGATCAAGTCCCACCTTCTTAGCTCTGCTTATTTTCTCTAAACAGAAATGGAAAAATACTAGTGGAGTGGGGGAGCACGGGGTTGTCTAGACTTTTTTCAGTGACCTCTGAGTAACAGAGGAACTTGACAACCCTGGAAGTAAAGGGAGATTGTAGCACTTGACAGATGCATTTTAAGAAAGATACCTGAACTTTTACAGCAGCACTGAAGGGGAGAGATGAATGCCTGTTCAGGTTACTCCCGTGTCCTAGGTGGATGCATACATTTAATTGCACATTCAGACTAACAGATATTAATAAAGCAAAAGACTTAATTTATCTGTTTTGGAATAATTTTTCAGCTTTGCTGGAAAACCTGTTCTGGAAATGAGGTACAGAGCTCTTGAAGAGTAGCAACTTTGCTTGGAAATACAGATTTCTCTGTCACTGCCACCACAATGATATTTGAGCTCCTGCTGTTCAGAGAGGTAGAAGAGAGTAAAGCATACGATGACATTTCTCTTTCCTCCTGTCACTCACAGCCCTAACACACCTACACACAGTCTGATTGAGTTCAACACACCAGGCTCCTTTCAACTTTCTTATTATCCCCGAACCAAAACCTGCCCAGCAGAAATCCAGCGCTGGGCATGTTTTTTTCCAGTTATTGAGGAGATTATTGACCTTGTAGCAAAAAGTCAAAGGTCTTTGCTGACAGATGTGGAGAAAAGAGACTGCAGAATAAGAACTGAGGAAGAAAACTCCTTTGTAGCCCGTCATACTATAAAGACATTTTACTCCAAGTTATCTTCAGAACTACATGATAGGTCTCCAAGACTTTCAGCAAAGGATGACCTCTAATGTAAGAACTGGGACTGCCAGGAGTCTCTGGAGCTGGGTGGTATCTGCAGTGAGCTGGCAGGGAGAGAACAAAGAGCGTGGCCCCAGCAGGGAGAGCAGTGTGGCAGCCAGGAGCCACGGCATCCTTCCAGCAGATGTTCTGCTCTCCAGCAAAGCAGGGCCTTGCCTGGGGAGCTCGTTTGATGCAACTGTGTCTAATTGGAAAGAAAATTCACAACTTTGAAACTTTCCCTCGTGCAGTTCTTGAATAATTAGGTTACCTTTTTATTTTTGGAAACCTGGCTTGAATATCTTTGGACTATTGTATTGGAATGCAAGTAATCCCACTCCTTTGATGCATAATATCTTGAGATTTGTAGCGTCTAAAATTTCATTGGCGTTTGCAGTCAGAAATTGCAAAGCAGAGAGTCACTGCAGGTACTCGATCTCATTGTTAACAGGTTCTTCTTAAGCATATGCTAAGTTTGTAAGAGAGCAAACACCAAAATTCATCTGTGATCTGCATTTTAGGAGGGATTTGCTGTTCACAAGGTTCTGAAAAGTGGTGGCTGAAAGACCCTGACCTCCTTTAAAGACTCCTTGCAGGAGTTTTGGTTCATTAAACTCCACTGCAAAGACCAAACAGCCATTTTGCTGGTTTGCTATTTAAATTAGGCAACTGTTACTTCAAGTTACCAGACTCCCCTGTGGATGTGGGGAAAGCTGCTGTGCAGAAAAATGCAGTGATAATGAGAATAAATGATTTAAAAGTAATTAATTTGTAAAGTTAGCCTGTTCTTTTTAATGGACAGAATGTTTATTCTCTTGTAAAGCCAGTGAATGCATTTCTTCATTCTTAAGGAAACTTAGTTCTAATTGTAACTTTTTAGAAGGAACTTTCAACATCTGATGGAAAATGCAAGCTGAAATGTGGTTTGCCTGCAAAAGCTGCTGTAACCCTGTGGATTGTATGTGGTTTTATCACATGATGCTTGCCTAGCCTAGGACATTGTTGTTTGTGTCAGAGATAAAATGCAATTCTAGTTCACGAGTTCCTACTGAAGTCATATGATGATCATTCACATGTTCCAGCCATTGTGCACTGTGCTCAGGCCGCAGATCCTCACCAGCCATTGGCAAATCCAGCGTTGCAGGAGTTCAGCTGCTCCCCAGGATGTCGAAAGGAGAGGATATTACAGTGTGCCAGGAAGGCACAGAGCTCGGTGGGCAGTGACTGCTCCCCTCCCTCTGCCACCCAGTTACTGATTCCTCTGCGCATTTTTCCTCGAGGCTTTCTGAGGCAGCAGCTCTGAGGGAGCAGCAGTGCAGGCTGCCACGTGGGGCTCTGCAATCCTGGACATTTTCTGCTGCTTTGCTAAACCTCACCCCCAATCAGGGGCAAATTACAGTCACCTCTCCCAAAAAAGGTCACCTGGGCAACCTAGGACAGAGACATGGGGTTCCCATCATGTCCCTCATCAAAATCCATCCTCAGCAGTAAGGCCAGTCATCTTTTTGTACAGTTGTTTCTGATTATTGAGCAGAGTCATGGAATTGCCACCCTGTGCCTTGGCTGTTTCACACTTTTCTTTATGTCTTTTTCCCTTTTTACATAGCTATTAAAGATTAAGGCATATTAATGTTTTTGGATGAAAGGAGAGCTTGTGATGTGGGGCTGTGAGTGCAGAGGTGAGGCTGTGACAGACAAGAGCAGTCCTGAGTTTCCCTCTGTCCCTTGAGCCTTGCTTCCAGCAGGATTTATTCCAGCTTGCTCTTACCAGTTTGCTGATTGTGTAGGAAATGTGAATTGAGGAAGTCTTAGGGCAGGGTTGGTATGGAGTTCTGAGCAGTGTAGGCTATTTCTGTCTCCTAGTGCTGCCCACCAGCAGATGTAAATAATGCCAACCTTGCGTGGGTGTGCTGAAGTGTAACGAGTGTGTGAGAAATGCATTGAGATCTTTAGGTGAGGAGGGTTGGCAATGCCAGTGCTGGTATAAACACCATTAACTTATGTGGATGCTGATTCTGCTTGGGCTGCTGAGACTCACAAGGGAAATCACAAACGTTTTTAAATTGTGAATGAAACAGTAGTGGAGCACCTCGTGTGCCAGTGATTGATAGTACTGTGTGTGGGGAGTGGATGCAGATCCTGCCCATCCTGTATATCAGCCCCAGCTCCATCTGGGCCCTCCAAACTCCCTTTTCTGCTGTGCTTTGTCTGAATCTCCATCAGAATTCACCCTTTGGATTGATTCTTCATTTTATGAAACTTTTCTGGCTTCTCTGTTGATGCCTAAAATGGAAGAAAAAATTCTCCAAACAATATTCTCCAAACAATATAAGTATAGAGAAGGTAGAGAGCAGTTCTTTAATGAAAGCTGTCAGGTGCAGGGAGTACCTAGCCACCCACACACACAGAATTCTCACACTTTGATTTTAACTAATTTCCATATCTAGTTGGTGCATTCAACTCAAAAACCATTTTTGCCCCTGCTACCACCCTCAGCCCCTCCAAGGGTTCTTGGCCCTCTGTCTTGTTTTGACTACAACATATCTTATTATTCTGGTCCAGGTGCACATCCCAAACAGGATATCCTTGCTAAAATCTCTTTCCTTGGAAAGATTGTTAAACAGAAATTCATTGGAAAGCAGCACTAACCTGGAGAAAACACTTTATTAAAACTAACTTTTTCAGCATTGTTCATTTTCAACCTCACAATTCCCTCGTACTGAAAACATGAGGAATGTGTCACCTCTGTGCCAGTCTTTAAAAAGGCTAGGGGGGCTTATACACAGCTAGGGAGAGATCTGTGGAAACCAGGATCTTTTCTCTCCACTTGTCCCTGTAACATGAATCTCCCGAATTCTGTGTTACTTGATTATTTGTGGTGAACTGCCCCTTCCTTGAGTGTCCATCACTGCTGTGTCACCCCTGCCCTGCTAACAGTGATTTCAGGTCGTGGATCTTAGTGTGTCACATGTATTGTCTTTATTTCAGAAACTCTGCAGTGATGCTCAGGTGAGAGTGTTTGGGAAATGTTGCCAACTGAAGCCTGGAGGAGACAGCTCTTCTTCCTTGGATAGCTCAATCAATTCATCCTCCTCGTTCTCTGATCCAAAAGAACAATGCCCAAAATACCAGGTGAGTCACTTTTATTCCTTTTTTTTTTTTTTTTTGGATAACCCATGCCAAATACCACGAGCAGGTGAGGTATCCACTGTTTTCAAATGCTAGAAGTGAGGCTGGTGGTGGAGCGCAGTTCCCAGCCAGAACCAGGCTTTGCTTCTGACTCAGGAATGGTTAATGCTGTAGCTTTGGGTTTGAACAAGTCCGAAACCAACCAGCTGGTTCTTTGGGGATGTGTCTTGAGTGGCAGTGATTCCTCCAGGGCATTTGTTGTGTCTCAGGACGCAGGTGGTAACACTCATTCAGTGCGATCAGACGCAGCACAAATACCTTGGTGCAGGTGAAGTAGTTTATTTTACTGTATTGCTAAATGCCAGGGAAATAACAAACACACCTTCTATAGGGACTGTCTGTGTAACAGCTTTATAACAAGGGATTCAGTGCACTCGAGTTCCATTTTACATAAGAGATTTTGGCCATGAGAGTAGCTAGAGTCATCTGACACAGATATATTTCTGTCATCTCTCCTTCCATGGATCACAAGTGTTTTATATTAAGCCACCCTAAAATAGAACTAAGCCCTTCCACTCTTTGTAATGAAGTAATTGTGTGTTTGAGGGAAGCTGCTATCTCCACAACCTGCTCTGAAGTACAGTACTACTGATGTCTTAATCTCCCGTAGATAGAAATGAAGAACCTTCCAGTGCTGACTCTCCCCCTGTCACGTTAGCTCCTGCTATATTTGGAGAGCTGTGTATTCCTGTTTTCTCTTTCTCATCACACTCTTTTCCACAGCTTTGGTAAGGTGGCTGAAGATCTGTTTTCCGTTCCTCCCTTCCTGGAAGGGCATTTCACTGCGGTTCTGAAAGGAAGGGACATTTCTGTCAGCAGCTCCCTTCCAGCACAGAGTAACCTCCTGTGTGCCCAAGAAAAACCATGTCCCCCACTATCCAGAAACTGTCTCTCCACCTGGGCAGGCTCTGTCCAAACAGTGGTCAGTGTTACTAAAGGAAATTAATTTTAGTGGTTGGCATGACAGTGTATTATAAAGCCGTGGAAAGTTTCCCCTTTTAAGTCCCCACTTCCTCATGTGTATCACTCAGAGTCTTGCTGAGTTGAACTGATGTGTGGCTACGTGACTGTGCCACAGACTTCCAGCTGAAGTAGGTCTTCCACAACACATTTGTTGTAAACTATCTGCTGCATTCATCAGACTCCTCCCAGGCTTCCCCAGCAAGTGAGCAGAGAACTGTAAACACGAGAATTCTTTAATGCCCAATAAAGTTTTGTATCAGGTATGCAGAAGGGGCAGAGTAAGTTTGTCCAGACATCACTCAGCCTGGCATTTCCTATGTTCTAATGGCTGTGTCTGTAACCTTGGAGGTTACTTAATGTGTTTGTTGTATTTATAAGTTGTTTTGTTTGGGTTTTTTGGGTAAAGCTGTAAAATGGAAGCTCAAATAATACAAAGAAGCTGTGGGACTTTTAAAATAGTTCTTTATGTTGTTTAAATACACTTTGACTATGTATGAGCAACTTTAATTGCAATGTGAAACACAGGGGGTTTATTCCAGGCTTCCATATTTGTAATTATGTCCCGTCCAGATCCCTCAAAATATGATTAGAATCCATTAAGATGAAGCTGGACATGATTCCAAGCTCGCCCACAGTTATTTGCACATTGTGGCACTGATGTTGCCTCTCGTGCTTGTTAGTGCAGGCAGCTCTGAAGGTCTCCCAGATTTGTTGATCACAACATTTGAGGTTTACTTCTTCGTTTTTAATTTTCAGATGCACTTAGTTATTGACAGGACAGTATGTACAGCGGGAGGGAATATTAAATGCTGTAAATATATCCAGAAATGTAATTTCCAAATCATGCCCATGTAAGTGCCTCTAATATGCTAATGTGCAATCACCAACACTCGTGGGTATTTTATGGTCAGTTTTTATGTGAGCTCGTAACCATGACCTGGGGAGCTGGTTTGTGGCCAGGCTGTCAGTGCCCCAGGTTGGGCCCTTTCTGCCAGATGCTCCTTGGCTACTTTTTGTTTGAGTTTTTAATATTTAACCCCTTTCCTCAGTTGATTGCACTCTGCTTTGGTCTTGAGTGACCTTTATTTTGCAGCATTAGAGGCCCAAAGAGTTGAGCTGTAATAGTGTTTCCATATTAAATGTGTGTCTTCTATTATGCAGGGTAAAATTATTGTTATTAAGTGTAGATGAAATGCCAGACAGAACAGGCCATGGGCACATCTTATCACACTCTTTGCCTTCAGCAGTGCTTGTCTGTCTTCCAAAGGAAAGGGAAACCCCTATAATTAAATTTGAAAGCAGCTGATTTTCACTTTAATTTGGTTGCCTGACAAAGAAAATCAATACTTTAAGATAGAGTATTTTTCCTCAGCTTTAGAATTAGATTTTCACAACAGCAGAAAGTTGAAATCAAAACCGACCATCAAGGGCTTGACATTTAATCAGAATTGTGTCCTCCATTTGGAGATCTGCAACAGATTTAAAACCAGCAATCACAGTGTGTGGCTGTAGTAATTTGCAGTGTTCTTAAGTCAAGATTTCATGATGCTGGCAAACCTGTTATTTCCTAGAGCCATTAACATCTATGCTGGGGTTTCCTTGGAGCTGCTGGGTCATACTGACTGGTTTTAAATTCTGGTTTTTCCAGTGCACCTGGGCAGGGGGATATCCTGGGAGGTAAAGATGGAAATTTCACTGAGGCCCAGCTAATGATCAGGTTTTGCACTGTCACTGAACACTAACAAACCTTGCAATTGTGTCCTCGTTTTTATAACTGTGGGTGCTGCTTTTAGTCCTTCTTGCAGGGATAGCAGATTTCAGAGGTTAATAGTATGGCTGTTAAAGTATCATCATCTTAATTGAGAGTGCTTGAGAAGAGCTAAAAATTGAGATGTGTTGTAAGTGTGTTGCCTTTTGGCTGATGAGCATTTCCTTGTTCCTGTCCTTGTTCTGCGGGCAAGTGTGAGCAGAAACCTCCAGTGGGATGTTCACAGCCCTCCCTGCTGCTGGTGGCAGCCCGTGGTGGGGACACCCTGTCCTTGGCTGTGCTCTGGGCTCACTGTCTGACACTGGCACAGCCTTCCCAGAGAACCTGTGGCTGCCCCATCCCTGGAAGTGTTCAAGGAAAGGTTGGATGTGTAGCAATCTGGGTGAGAATCCTGGTGGTTCAGAGCTTGGACAAGGAGTATGAAAACATGGCACTTAGCATTTTCCAAACACGGGGTTGTTTCTGTGGCTGGTTTTAGGGATCTTTGGGAAGGATTACTCCAAGGAAGTGGAGTGCTATCACACATCTTGAAGGAAATATGTTGCTCTCTTGCACAGTACCAAAGTACTCACCTGTGAGCTGGCTGAGCTCTGTGAGTCAGTGATCACCACATTTTAAATTAGTCAGGGCAAGGCACAAGTGCAGACCCAGCACTAATACTCTGGAGATGAGACAGCCCAGGATGAAGGGACAGTAATCTCAGCCACTGAAAGTACACAGATGAGATGACTGTCAGCAGAGCAGTCATCTCCAGTTGATTGCCCTGAGTGATTTTTTAAAATTAGGGTTTTGTGTGCAGAATTTGGCCTGGCCTGTGATGCAGCACAGTGACATCCCTCCTTGGTATTTAGCCCGTGTGCCTTACAGCAACCCCTGCCAAGGGAGCAGCAGGAATGGCACAACTTCAGCCTGGCATCACGATGCTGCAGCTCTTTGCTGGTACCGTCACAGGAGCACCAGGGAAAGAGTCATCCCGCAAAAATACCGTCCAAGGATAAGTTGTGAGTCAGTGTTTGTCAAGAAAACACTGGTCCAGCTTGGCTCCAGTGCACAGTCTGTCTAAGACCTCCAGTGAACTGGTGATTCCTCTTGTCAAGAAGAGGCAAGGTTTAAGCTTAATGGTTTTTATTCAGCAAGGTGTGTTATCTCAATCTTAAAACTTTAGTCCCCTGACTCAATGCAACTGGAATCTGCTTCCCCTCACCCACATGGGCTAGGTTTTTTGGATGGTTTTACTGGTTGAGCTCACAGCCAATATGAAGATCCCTTTCTGGGCTAGCATTATCTTCATTAAACTGTTCAACTTAGCGTGTTCAACAGCGTTCTAGGGAGATATTTTGCATGTTTATCTTTTAAATAGAGAATATTTTCCTGTCTTTTATGTCCCCTCATAGAAGTGTGCTTCTAAAATGCTTAAACCCAAATGCTGCTGGGTTGGTTTGTTGCAGGGTTCTCGGTGCTCCTCAGATGCCAACATGCTTGGAGAGATGATGTTTGGCTCTGTGGCCATGAGCTACAAGGGCTCCACACTGAAAATTCACCAGATCCGGTAAGATTAACGTTTTGCTGCTGGTGTTTTCAGAAGGCTCACTCCTTAGTGCTGCTGCCTGCTGAACTGAATGGCACAAGTGCAGAGTGAAAGGCATTTCTGTGTTTGCCTTACAGTTATTCTGATGTCACTTTTGAAACAAAAGCCTGTTGTGTCGTGTGAAGGTCTATAAAATCTTGGGGGAGGGGGTGTGAAGTGGAAAGCGCACAGCCTGTCTTGGCACCGTGTTTGTGACTGCCTTCTCCCCTGCTGTCCTGCAGCTCCCCTCCCCAGCTCATGCTCAGCAAGGTGTTCACGGCGCGCACGGGGAGCAGCATCTACGGCAGCCTCAACACGTGAGTGCCTCATGTTGTAGCTGTTCACCTGAGCAGGGGAACCTAAGAACACACCAGACTTTTTTTTTTTTTTTTTTTTTTTTTTTTTTTTTTTTTTTTTTTTTTTTTTTTTTTTTTTTTTGGACCCTCCGGATTCTTTCTCTAAAAGAGTAACTTGTTGTTACATCCTGTCAGTGGCGTCCTCACCTTCCCCTCACGGTTGTCTTCACCTCCGTTTGCTCTAAGGGAATGAATGAGCCATTCCTTCCGAACTGATATGGGGAGGCTTGATACTGTAAGGTACACAAGGGCCTGCAACCTGGGGAATTCAGTCCAAGATGAAGGAAAAGGTGTTACAGAAATACCTGCCTTCAGAGTTTAGTTTTCTGTGTGTTAACTGACCCACCTGGGAACAGGGCTAAGGCTCCAAAAGCTTTTTCTAGTGGAAGCCTATGTTCTTACCTGGTCTGTTCCATTCAGGCTGTAATGAACTAACATTTTGTTCTACTGAAATGCAAATCACTGTTTTTGTTGTATGTTTTATATTTGTTATAGGTTGCAGGACAGTCTTGAGTTCATTAATCAAGACAGCAATACATTAAAGCCTGACCACAGTACAATTATGAATGGACTTCTTGGGAATATAGGTAATTACAAACAGATTTTATTTGCTGATATCTTTGAGGGATCATAGATACTACAATATGTAAGTCTTTTAAATAGAATCAAATTAAAAAAAGCTAAAGGTGTAATAGAAAATTAATGTTGGTGGAGTTTGGAGGAGAATGAATCAGACTGTTCAGGGAATGAGCAGTAGTTCAGTACACACAGCTGTATATGTGTATATAAAATACATAATAGAAATATTTAGATATACTTCAGTGCAAATACAGAAAATGTTGGAAAACACCATTCTGTAGAACTTCCTGAGCAGCACATCTCGGGTCAGGCAGATTGCTGGTGCCTGGCTCGGCTCCCCCGTTTTATTTTCGTTAATAATTCTCATTCTGCTCTGTACTCTGCCCACCTGAGCACGTGTGGCCACGTGTTTGCTCCGAGTCTGGGTTAACCTTGCCCAGCTGTGCTGCAGCCTGGGCTCACATCAGACAGGGTGTCTTTGTGTGCTCTCCTCTGCCTGACCATGGGAGTTGAGCAGTGCTGGGAAGCCATCTGGCATCCTTGGTTCTCGGCCTCGTGGAGGAGCTGTGGGTGGAGGCCCCATGAACATTAGATAACAAAGAGGGGAAGGTCTTGGCTCTTCCCTCTGGGGACAGTTGAGATGATAGTAGAGATGCTGGACTTCAGTGCTTGGTTCCAGTAGTAGCCACCTGATTCATGGCTCTATAGCACCTCCTCCCTTTCCCTTCATTTTGATTGTTGACTCTCCAAGCGAATGTCTGTTGTAGGTGGAATAAGGGGCTTCTTTTTACAATTGCTTTCCAGAATATTGCTATATGTAAAATATGCTTTTGTAGGGTTGGAATAAGGAGTGGATTTGATGACTGTGTTACTCTTAACTGGGTTTCTGACTTTGATGTGGTCCTAATTCTTGGGGGTGTTTACTTCTCTCCTTCGCACTGACTTTGATAAGACTGCTCCTGGGCACAGGCTTAAATGCTTTTCAGGCTCATGAGCTGTGTACCTCATTAAAGTTGTTCCCAAAAGTCCACCTATAAGGGAAACCAATTAAAACTGCAAGAACCTTTTATCTATTAAATGCTTCCTGAATTCACTAAGTCAGAATAGTTTAAAAGGTGGCATTTTTCTTAATATTCAGTATATTCCTTTCAGACTTCATTTGTGATTTTTTCACAGTAGATGAGGTGCCTGATCTAAGAGATCACTTCACCTGCTGTTAGGGTTTGCTATGGTTTGTGCTTGGCAAAAGTTTGCTGTATCACCAGAGAGATCTGAACTGCAAGTTCCAATTCAGACAATGCATCTCTTAGGAGAGGACTCGATGTGATTCAGGTGTGGGCAGTGCCACCTGTGCCCAGCTCTGAGGTGAGGGTGACTCTTGCCCTCCAGGCTGCCCTGAGAGCTGCCCAGGAGAGGCGTGGGCTCCTGGGAGCCAGGGGTGTGTGGCAGGAGGCACGAGGCTGCCTGCAAGAAGGGGATGCTGGAGTTTTCTTTGTGATTGAGCTGCCCAAGTTTTCAGCAGTGTTTGTTTACAGTTCCCATTTGAGCACCGAGGGAACCCTGGGCAAAGCGGGGAAAGGAGTTAATCTGTTAATCTGTAACCACCGCGTTTCTGCCCACTGTGCTCAGCAGCTCCTGACTCACCTGTGGCAGGAGGAGGGTCTATGTGTTTTGGTTGGGAACTATTTACAACGTGCTTTTTTTAGATACGCTGGTTGAGAAAACAAACCAGCAGCCCTGGTCATGTGCTCCCTTCAATGAGTGAAGGCCTGAGAGAATGGAAGGGAGCTTTGAGGTGCAGCCTTCGTGTTTTGTATAATCCGAAAACTTTGAGTGGGCATTAGCTTCAAATGTAGGAGAGGGCCTGGCAATTAACTCATTAAAGTGCTTTTCCTGACTTTGTGTACAGTAAATACACCGTTTTCTTGGTATATCTACAACCCGGTATTACTTTTAAAATGTACTACTGAGACTGCTAACATTTATTTTCTGTGTGATCATTTCACTCAACTGATGTACTGACTGTTCCCAGAACAACAACTTCAGCTCATAATTTTCTGTTGGTTCTACTAAGATGAATTCCTGCCTGCCTCCTCCCCCTTCCTCCCTCTCTTCTTCAGCACCAGTGTTCCCAGCCACCCCACCAGTGTGGATGTTAAAACAAACATTATACTCCATGATGAATCTCCTGTTTGTGATCAAGTTAGGCTTTGAGCCTGCATAAATTAATCATTTTTCAACCCTAAAAAAAAAGCCCTTTTGAGAAACCTCATCCTTGTATGGGAGACACTGGCAAGCTGGGTCTATTATTTTAATTCTATAAGTACCAACTGCAGGACTTAACCCTCCCATCAGCGTTCCTGTTAGGCCTCAGAGCTGTTCTCTGCCTACGTTACTCTGCATTTCTGTCAGCTCCTCTCTCCTCCCTGCCCTGGCCCCCTCCCTAGGGACTGTTCTGCTTTACTAACCTCATTCTCTCCTGTGTATTTTACGTTTTGCCGTGTAGGTCTTTCCCAGCTTTGCAGCCCCAGGCGGGCATTCTCAGAGCAAGGTCCGCTCCGCCTCATCCGGAGCGCCTCTTTCTTTGCAGGTTTGCAGTGTGCTGTGTGCTGGGGGCTAGTCTAGCTGGGGGACAAACGGGGGCGTTTGTAGTTCAGCCCTGGAAATAAGATTTCTGTGTTTGTTTTTAAATGCAAAAGGGACAGTGATGTCTGCTCCCTCACCTTTTTGGATACATTCCTTAAATCCCCAGAGGACAACAGGCATTTAATACTCCTCTTTGGGGCTGTTTGTGCTCTTTTGTTTTGGAAACTTATATATTTAAATACGGATTTCATATTCCTGGAAACAATATTTCACGGTGGTGTCAAGCTATTTTGATCTGGACTGGTTTCAACCAAACTGTAAAAACTAAAGCTAACCTAGATTCAATCAAAATGGACATTTCTTGCTTTCAGTGGCTGGGTCTTATTTCCATGGCTGAGTAGTTTTATTTCACATACACATTTGTAAAATATGTCACGTTTAAAGACCTTTGAGCCTGAGACACTTCTGATCTTGTGTATATGCAGACTCTGAATCTGGACAGCTTTTGGCTTAGTTGAACAACCAATGCACTGCTCACAACTCAAAAATATTATTGTCTTCAAAACACCATTGACAATTATTATGAAATTACATTTATAATACCTGAGAAAGCTGGTATATGAATGGAGTTGTGTTCATTTTGGATTTTGGTGGGTTTTTGTCCATATACTGAATACTACCAGTGGGACCAACATCCTCTTGGTACATGAAAATTTCATTAAAAATTATCTGTGTAAAGAAACAAAGTGTGCTAGTTCCACTTTGCCCTAAAATAGGTGTATGGACTTGAGAAAAACACATACAGGCTTCTCAGATAAGTGTTTTGGCTTGTTCAGCTAAGCAGCCTTTCTTGGTGATGGCCTTGTGCAGTGCTGTTGATCTGAATTAATGAGCATGTTTTTGTTTCATTAATTACATGGAGATCTGCAAACAAGAAAGGAACTGTATATTCCCCTGCTAATTGGTATTCCTTGTTTTACAGTTCATAGCAACCCTATGGATATGCCTGGGAGGGAGCAGAATGAGGACAGAGACAGCGGAATAGCAAGATCTGGTAATGGCAGTTCCGTGTGTTAACCCTGTGCGCTCCAGAGAGACTGATATTGGTCACTGCACATCATCAGACAGTGCTGAAATGGGGTGGTTGTGGCTTGTTCTGTGCAACATTAATGCGACCTCTCTGTGCACGAACAAATGGTGCTTTAGGCACTTCTCAGGCAACCTGACAGCAGGGCCATTGATTGAAGCAAGGCAGATTAAATACTGAAAGGAGCTCGCAGCATTTCTAAACAATACTTGCTGTCATCTCCTTTAATCAAGGGGGAATGCTGGATGGGCCCTGAGTCTAGTGGAAGGGCTTGGAACAAGATGGAATTTAAGGTCCATTCCAACCCAGACCAGTCTGTGATTCCCTGATGGTGATGTTAAAACATGAATTCACCTCCACAACACCCCTCTCCTCCCCTCAAATTCGGGATGTTGGGTATTTGGGTTAGGATTGGAAGGGCTAATAAAGGATGTGATCACCATTACTCCTTTCCACAAAGAATTTATTTCCCAATGCTCAGGTTGCTGAGCAAGGTACAGCCTGTGTGATGCTTATTATGTAAAGCTGCAGGACTGTCCCACCCTTGTCGTGCTTGTATGGCTTGTTAATGTCATTATAAACTGGTTATTTTTAGATAAGAAACACAGATAAGCAAAAGAGAAAGCACTCGAGAAGCAACACCAGCATATCTTGAGGGGCTTCGTTTAGTTGCTGGTGTTGTTTTCCAAATGCTCTTTCTTCTGAGGAGAGATTTTTATGTATTCCTCTTGTTCTTGCAGCATCTCTTAGCAGTCTGCTCATCACTCCGTTCCCGTCCCCGGGCTCCTCGTTTAACAAAAGCTGTGCTAGCAGCTACCAGCGGCGTTGGCGTCGCAGCCAGACTACCAGCCTGGAGAACGGGGTCTTCCCTCGATGGTGAGCTGGGAATTCAAATGCTGCTTGCTGCCCATGCATTTTCCCCCGTTGTCAGCTTGATTCTGCTCTGGCATATGTACATCTGCGCTTGCTGCTGCTTTCCGTGGGGTATTGACAGAGGTGCAAGTCAGGCTGATCTTTTTTAGTCTCTTGTTTTCCTCATGCAATTCATTGTTTTGCACTCACTGGAAAGCCTTCAGCAGCATGTAAATCTGTAGGCTGTAGTTTGGAGGATGAGAAGCCCTGAAATCCTACTCAAAACACAAATTCTTGGCAGAGATGGGAGGGAACTAGAATACCATATTCTGATCCCACCAACACTCTGAATCTGGTTCCAGCTCTTGTGATTGCAGGATCAATTAGTGGTTGCTTGTAAAAAATCACAAAGTGGATGCTGTCAAAGGTGATGATTTGACAACACACGCAAACCAAAGGTGTTTGTTGAAGTTAAATGTTCGAGAACTGAATTACACAGGAAACCAGGGTACCACTTGAAGCAGTGGAGCACATTAACTTTCTCTTTTTTTTCATGCTCCAAGGTCCATGGATGAAAGTTTCAACTTGTCAGATGACAGCTCTGGTCCAAGCCCGGGAATTGTTAGGAAGAAAAAGATAGCAATTGGGGTTATTTTTTCTCTCTCAAGAGATGAAGATGAAAACAACAAATTCAACGAGTTCTTCTTCTCACACTTCCCTCTTTTTGAGAGCCACATGAACAAACTGAAGAGTGCAATAGAACAGGTAAACACGGTCGCTTTGCAGTCTTGCCCTTGTACTGCTCTGTGTTCCCCCAGCCCTGTCAGATTTAATTCCTAACTCCTCTTGCTGGTTACAAAAGGTGGGATCAACTTGCTGTTGGGTGTAGGAATTGCATCACTGCAGTCAAAACTTTGAACCTCTTCTGTGCCTTAAATGATGAAATGCACAGAGGAGGCAGAAGCTGCAAAGGTGCCTCACCTGGCTTCCCTCGGATAGGAAAGCTGGCACTTGTACCATCATTTTATCACTTAAAAAAATTTTTTTGCATGACCAGTTGCGTGAAAGATAAAGGCAAGCACATGACTTTGTTTTCCATTCCCTGTGCTGCTGTAGCTCTGTGTTACTTATCTGTTTAATGATTGCTTTCAAGGCTATGAAAATGAGTCGGAGATCAGCTGATGCCAGCCAGCGGAGTTTGGCCTATAACAGGATTGTGGATGCCCTGAATGAATTCAGGTGAGCAGTGTGACTCCTGCCTTTTGTGTCTGATCCTTCAAAAGCAGACTGTTTTAGTGCAGGATAAGTAACTTACAATGTGTAAAGTCTCCTGCAAGTGTAAGCACGGCCAAGGATTGGTGATACCAAGCCGTTCTTTTCACATTTTGCCAAGTGTGTGTATCCATCAGGGCCTGGTGTGAACAGGACACAAGTGATCAGTGTTTTCTGTGCATTAGGTGGTAATGGAGCTCACAGTGACCTCTTAAATTATCTTTTATGGCCCGTTGAGAGGGGGGAAAAGCATTGCAAAGCCATGTTTGGGAAACCCAGCTTAGTGTGCATTTTCCTGATGTGTGAGCAAAGCTCACCCCGCTCTAAATTGTGTTCTAAAGGTGTTTCAGATAACCAGCTAGGAACAAGGAGAGCTGTCTTTTCCCACAGTAAAATGCAGTGCTGTAATCTCTGGCTATCAGTACCTGCAGAGCCTCTCTGTTCAACACTTAATACACAAAGTAACTCAGATAAGCACATCCCTGGCATTTAGCTGTATTTTCTTTCCATAGTTGAAGTCATGGGGGGGGGGGGGGGGAATTAAGATGAAATCCATCTGTTTTGAGTGATTCATCCCCTCTCAGATGGGAGTGGCAGGGTGCTTCCTTTTACAACCACTGTGGAGCTACTTTTTGAAGACATTACTGAAGACGGTGCTCTGATGTTATAAAGAGAAAATCCTGACATCAGGATGTATTTTACTAACAGTGAAGGATCCTGAGGGCTCACTTACTTCTATACAATCCCACTTACTACCTGAATGCCACGGATTAGGTGGTGCTGCAGGATGAAGGCACAGTATATTTTTTATTTTTTCAGAAGCTCCAGGCAGTCACAAGGAAGGGCAGAGGATACGTTCTGCAGGGACAGGAGGCAGGGAAGAGGGAGCACGTGGGCCTGCGGTGAGAGGTGGATGGGATCAGCTGTGCCAAGAGAGGGAGCAGAGGGAGCTCGTGACTGGGAGCTGCTGATCCTGCCCAGGGGCCTGAGACGAGTTCAGCAACTCGGAGCAGCCGCCATGGTTCCTCTGCTGCCCCAGCTCTGCCTCTGCTCCCTGAGCCATTCCTCTGCCTCCCCACGCTGTTACACCATCTGCCCAGCTGTTTGCCCAAATCCTCCCCCAAAACATTCCCCCTCAAGATCCCTTCAGTGGACTTTGCCTGTTCTCCTTTGTCCTTCCAAGTTAAACAGTTCCAGAGGGCTGGAGAGGGGCACCTATCCCGAGTCAAAAGTAGGAATAATAGCCCTGAAAACACAAGCCAAATCCCCCACTCTGGCTTTTCCTGCTGGAGGGAAGCTCAGCAGTGCTGAGCTGGGATGGGATGAGGAAGGTTGCTGTGGACAGGCTGAGGAGGAAAGTGCAGATTGGCACTCTCCTGCACACCAGGAGCTGGGATCATTCCCATGACACAGCCCTTGCATAACCAGCACTGGGAGCATGTGTCCAACCACCAGTTTTATGCAGAGGTTTCCATGGTGATATAAATATTACTCCTTAATAGTGTAATGAGGTAAATTAAATCCAGTTTAATTTCATGGAAATGAATTTCCTGGGGCAGCAGCCTTTGGCAATTCTGGGTTTTGTTGGTTTTTCTAAGGGATTGCATTCAGAGGTGGGCAGCAACCCGTGCCCCCAGCCCAGGCAGGGTCCTTGTGCCCCTGTGACAGCCCCACTTCTGTGACAGGCAAGAGCCCCTTGCTTTTCCAAGCCATGCAGGATGTGTCTGGTAAGGAGCAAGAGGCATATTTAAATTCTGAAGGCTGGATGCAAAGATGCTTTGGCACGGGTTCAGCAAACCCATTTAGGACACTATTATCTCTTTAGGCGTCTGCTTTCCCACTGAAGTCACGGGGAAGTCAGGAGCCGAGTCCTTTGGTGAACCTGAGACTTGTGTTGATTCCTGCCCTCTTAGCAAATTGTGCTGCAGGGAAGAAGGGTGCTGACTTCAGTGGGTTGGTGATTCTAAAATGTAATCCTGTGCTGGTTTAACTCATTGCAGTCTGGTTGGTTTTGGGGTAGGTTTAAAGGAGAATCTTTTTTGTTTGTTTGTTTTTCTTTAAAACCCCCACGTTTTCAGAGGTGCCCAAGAGTAGCTGATGTGCACTCCGGTGATCAGAATAACCTCAGATCAGTGGGGCATGGGGGATGTGCTGCTGTGCTGATCAGAGAAGGGAGGAGGGAGTGTGCAGGAAAGGGGCTGTGGTTGTAGATCACCCCAATACCTGCAACAGGAATTGTAAGGAGCTGCCTGCAGGGTCAGCTGCTACAGGAGGATAGAGGGGGAGAAGACAGCAAAATAGAGCCTCGCTTTGCTCTTCTTGTCTCCTGTAGGGAAAAACAAAGCTGCCTTCTCTGGAGGGCCCAGGCTGCTTCTACAAATGGATGCTGTTGATAAATTTGCCATCGATTTGGTGCCCAGCTCCAGGCCTACCCTCGCATCATTAGTCACTTTACAGCAATTTTTAATTTTCTAAAGCACTGATGGATTTAGCTATTAACACCTGACTTAGAGGCTTAGAACCCTCTGTGGATGTCAGCTGTGCAGACACATGACTTATGAAATAAGCTACTGTACTTGCATAAACATTTCGGCTCCCCCCGTCCCCGAGGCCAGCGCAGCACATTGATAACACAGATTATGCATCTGACTAATACCTGTGTGGCACAGACGCAGGCTGGCAAGGAAACACTGATCTCGGGGCCTGGGGAAACACCTCTCTCTGCTTTCTGGCAGACAGATTTGATCCTATTTTCTGCCAGTAATTTTTAAGCAGCTTACGCTGCTGTGAACTGCCTGGTGCGTTCTGCTCGGTGGTGCCAGCATGGGCACGGAGTCGCAGGGGCTCCCCCGCTCCTGCACTCCCTACAGTGGGGATTGCCTTTATTTACTTGCTTCTTTTTAAGGAAGAAATGAGGATAGGGAACAAATGCGTGTGAATTAAGCTTTATAAGCCACTGGTGTTTTTTCTTTGTCATTGTGTGGCGGCTCCTAAATAGCAGAGCAGCTCTGGGGGACAGTGCTGGGGGTCCCTGTGTTTTCCTGGGGGAGGAAGGGGTTGCAGCAGGCTGCTCTCATCCACGAGGAGCCGTCTGGCTCGTTGGGTTTGTACAGCACCAGGGAAAGATGTCTCAGACTGGTAGTGAAACCTGTGCCCGAGGCCAGGGTGGTGTGGGGGGTGTGTGGGTGAAGGGGGGTGGCAGCAGCCGTGCTGTGCCCCTGCAGGAGCAGGGCTGCTCGCCTGGCTGCCATCTGTGCCCGCCGGGGCAGACCCCAGAGGGCTGAGCAGGGGTTTGCTCAGGGCTTCCCTTTCCCCTGGCACTTGGCTCTCCCACCCTGTGGGATGGGAAGGTGTTTCCTGAGGGGCTCCCCCGGCCCCTGGAGCCGGTGCTGCATTGCTGGGGCTGAGGTGCCTGCAAGCTCCGGGCTGGAGTTCAGCCTCCCGGAGGCGTTTCCAAATATAAACCAATTTAAATGCGCTGGAACCCTCAAAAGAGCAGAGTCTCTCATTAACTGAACTTTCCCTCGCAGGCTGGTGTGTGGGGGAGGGAGGGAGGGGAGGGGGCTGCTGCTGCAGATGGCTGAGAGGAGAGGGGCCAACTGGGGTTGTAATGGTTGTTGTTTTTTAAATCCAGTCGTGTCTGGGGAGGGTTTCTCGGTTTTTTATGTTTTGTTTTGTTTTGTTTTCATTTTTGCCCTTTCCTGACTGGCAGGAGAGCGTTTCCCTGGGTGTCTGCAGAGCTGGGAAGCAGTTAATCCTTGCCCTTGGTCTGTGTGCCATTGCTGCCTGCGCTGGCATGGAGGGTTCCCTGCACTGCAGTCACATGCCTGCTGGCCAGCAGCCAGGGCAATCTGATCTGGCTCGGAGGAAACACTATCAGCTGCAGATGCAGCCAGGGTTACCAGAATAGTAAATAACGAATCACAAGACTCGGGCTATCTTTTCAACGAAAACAAATATTTTAATATGTTGGGTTTAGTATAGAAGTAGTTTCTTCTTTCAAAACAGCCGAGCTGCAAGGGGCTTGGCTTGGGTTAGTTTGCATAGGAGGGAGAAATAAGCTGTATTTTATGTGAAGTTGTGCTGTTTATCTTCAGCTTCTCGGGTCAGCTGTGCCTGGGGATTGTAGGTTTTGAGATGTTTTGAGCTTTGAAGTCCCTGGACTTGGGGTCTCTTCTTTTTGGGGGCCTCTTAAACATCCACTCCAGTTAATGAGCTGTGAACAGAAAGCTTTCCCTTAATAATCCCATCCCTAGTCCCAGTTTGCTCCTGGAATGAAATCCCAGTGCCCCAAGCCCCTGTGCTGCCAGAGACCCCCTGTCCCCTGCGTGTGGCCAAGCCTCTGGGGGCTGGGCACTGCAAAGGTAGCTCAGCTGTCCCTCTCTCCAGCCCACTGACTGCCTCCTGGTGTTCTCATCATGCTTGTGCCAGTGGAGGGGCTGGAGCTGTAACCTTTGAGCAAGACAGGGTTGATTTGGACTACTGTGAGCACGCAATGGATTTTGTATTTGATGAACACTGGTGGAAAAAATAAGGCACTGGCCCCTCACCCCCTTCCCTCTGGAGCAGCCCCAGTGACTCCAGTCACCTTCACTGCCCTCTGGGGCTCTTGTCACCACCCAGCTGCTTCTCTGCCAGATAACTGGGGGTAACTCCCTCCTCCCCTGGGAGCCCCCGTGCCAGGGCTGGGATGTGCTGTGCTGCTGCTGACGTGCTGCTCTCACTTCCTGGGAGTTTCACTTTAAACACTAAACCACAGAACATTTGGCAGCTGCTGCTCCAGTGTGTTTGCCTGCCTGGCGTGCACAGCCATGGCTTTACTTCTGGAAGTGTCCATAAATTCTGAGACCAAGTTGTGCAGAGAGGAGCTTTATAAATCAGGGGGTGGTACTAGGGATAATGGGATAATGTAAATCTTTGTCTTGTGGAACAAAAATACCCCATCTAGAAAAAGTAGTGCATTAAGTGGGGAGAAACTTGAATTGATCAGTCATTTCCCTTGTTCTTTTGGGTTTTCTTGGGCTGACATTTTTACTGTGATAAAAATACAGGTTCCTGTAGTGTCATAATGTAGGCTTTATACTTTAAACTATAGTTTAGATTTTCAGTAATCTGAGGGGTCTTAATCTGGTATTTTACTGCAGAGCCAAATTTTTAATCATACATTTACTGTCCTCTGTAGAGTCAGAAAGGATGTGGGTGAGTGTGTAACCTGAACAGCCATGGGGTGACTTTGACTCTCATACTCTCTATTTAAAGTTAAAGAGGTGAGCTGCTCCCCTGCTCTGCACATCACACTTGGGTGGGTTTGGCCTGGAGATACACCAAGTTTTTAAAGCAAGGAGGAAGTTAAGGTATAAGTCAAATGTAGATAAACTTGTCCTAGTCATAAATAAAGCAGAAGTATGTTTTGAATGAAGTGGAGAAAGCAAGGAGATAACAGCAACAAGATATCATTCCTTCTGCAGTCAGAGCAGGGCAGCTCTTGACTTGAGGCAGGGAGTGCTGCTGTGTTTGGGATCAGTTCAGGTGGATGCAGCAGGAACCTGTGAGGTTCAGCTCTCCATGGTGCAGGGTGGGTTCCTACTGTGGAACAAACAACATGGTTTGGATAATGGTGGATGAGAGGAGTTTTGTTTCTGATAGAAATGACAGCTGGAACTAAATGTTGCAGTGAACTCTTTAAGCTGGGATCTCTGCCTTTCTTTTTTTGCTTTTGTTCAGCCTGCTGGATGTTGTGGTTTTGTTTTCCAGAACCACCATTTGCAACCTGTACACGATGCCCCGGATCGGGGAGCCCGTGTGGCTCACCATGATGTCAGGGACACCCGAGAAGAACCAGCTCTGCCACCGCTTCATGAAGGAGTTCACGTTCCTGATGGAAAACGCTTCCAAGAACCAGTACGGTGGATCTGAGTTTTCAAATTACGGATGGGATTGGGCCTCTTTATTGCAAACCACGTTTCAAGTGGGTTGTTAAAACCAAAGAATCAAAAGGCCATCCATAAATACCTTCTTTTGAAAACAAAAAAAGAAATAAGAAATTATCTCACTACATTTCTGCTTCCCCACAATCCTCTAAATCTTGGTAGAGGCTGAACATCTGAAACATGTCCATAGGAAGCATGTGATGGGTGTGGGTGTCTGGAAGTGGGTGAACATACCTTATGAAATGCACTAATCTACCTTTCAGAATCAGTTGTCATATGATGAGCAGGGTTAGACATTCAGGAAGAGCTGTTTCTGTAATTCTGTCTGACCACAAATTGCTCTCAAACCTTAAATCATTGTAAAATGCCACTGGTGGGCTCATTAGTGCTCGCCTCTCTGGCCTCAGGCCCCAGCCTTGAGCGGGTGCTGAAAACTGAGAAAGTTCCTGATAAACTGGGGAGGATCTGATAAATGTACTCTTTTGTCAACACTTCATCCCCTTTCCCCAGGGCACGAGTAGGGGAAGTTTTTAAAGCATTTGGCTCCAATGAGGTCCTGAAACGAGCCCAGGCGTGTGCTGGGTGGGAATGGCACTGGCAGAGCAGCTGCCTCAGGGAAGGGGCTGCTGCTCCCATCCTGCAGCTCTGCCACCACCTTTGGCATCTCTTCTTTCCCCACATGGGAGGGTGACAGTGGTCAGTGTGGTCCACCTGCTCCTGCCCCGGTTCAAGGGGAGAAACCACAGGGAACTGTGAGGGGTTCAGATGCATTTGCTTAACATCGGTTCCTGCTTCAGTGGAACCTTTTTCCTGGGCCACCCTGATCCTTGCCATTCTGAGCCCTGCACATCTTGGTTACATTTAAGTGGTCCTCTGTTTGGGTTTGTTTGCTTTATTTCAAATGCAGTAAGATTTACAGTGATGGAAGCAAGAGGAAATTAAGCTCTGTATCCTTTCCAGTTGAGTTTTAATTTTCCTCTCCTCCTTTGGCTGTCTCCAGTGAGGAACTGGCTACATGGAAGCTGTGGGGTTCCTGATGCTTGTAAACTATTCAAATGATGTTATTTTGAGGCATTTGACTGTTTTCCTCCCTACACCTGAGCTGCTGAGGCCACCAGCACCATCTGTCGGCATGTGGAGGCTCCTGGGCCCTGCTCCTGCCGGGAAAACTGACTGGGAAGGGAAGTTCCCTCCAAAGAGCAGAAACCATGCTCTATCATTGCAGTAAATCAGATAGTTAAGCTTTTCCAGAAAGGTTTTTAGCCCTAATTTCTTAGCTGGTGAAAAGTGTTTTGCCAGCATAAGGGTACAGCTTCCCTGGCTGAGCTACAGAACTTTGGGGGGGTTATTTTTTGAAGGGAGCAGCCATGTGTGCTGAAATTGCACAACAGTTCTGTGGAAGAACACAGCACTCAGCTGTTTTACAGGTTGGGTAGTGACAGCCTTCCTTCTCATCCACAGCCACAGATCTTACGGGGTTGGGATCTCCTGGGAGCACAGAGGCCACACAGTGCCACTGCTTTCTTACAGTGAACAAAAGAAGTTGGGTCTGAGATGTTCCACAGCATAAAACTTGCAAAATAGGAAGTCTCGTAGTTATTGCCCAGCAGAGGAACTGAGATGCCACAGAGTTAAAATATTTCACTTTACTTCAAATGCTCGTTCTAAGAAAGAGCTTTGTAGGAGTGGGAGGGAGGGCCTAGCCACCCCTTCTCTCCCCGAAAACCAGGACTGAAAGAGGATCTGTGCTGACTTTTGTCAGGCTGGTTCTGCAGTCCTTGATCCATCTAGACTGTGGAGGTGCTGTCAGTTTGACATCCTGAGTGTGTACCTGGAAAAAAACCCATGCTGGACGTTTTGCTTTCAGGTTTTTACCAGCTTTGCTGACTGCAGTGCTGACTAACCACCTGGCCTGGGTCCCCACCGTCATGCCCAATGGCCAGCCGCCCATAAGGATCTTCCTGGAGAAGCATTCTTCCCAGAGCGTGGACATGCTGGCCAAAACCCATCCCTACAACCCTCTGTGGGCACAGCTTGGTACGTGGCAATCACCTCTACACCACCCAGCAGCTTTACAGGAGTGGGTTTATGATGCTCGTTACTTCCCTCCCGAGTTATTTATTTCTTAATTCAAAATGAGGCAAAAGTGCGTATTTCCAGCTGAGAGGTGGTCACTGCGTTATTTGATGTGTGCTCTGGTTTCTTAAGGCATTCTGCACTGTCAAAGCTTAGCCAAAAAGTAAAGCCCTCTGTAGTCACCAAGTGGAGTCCCTTTAAGGTCACCTGTCCTGGTGCTGGTGGAGGATTCCAGCTCTCCCCCGGCCCTCTACCTAGAAGAAAAATCCATTTTTAGTTTTTGGGATGCTGCCATCAATAAGCCTCGTTCTAGAAAGAGAAAATCGAGAAAGTCCATTTTTTGATCAGAACTGAACACCCTCTTAATACAATGGATTGAGGCAGAACAGGAAATGGTGGCTCAGCAGCCTCCTGGGAAGATCTCAGAGCCCAGTCAGTGTAGCTGGTCACACTGTCTGCTAACTGCCAAGGAGAGGAGGGGAGGTGAGGTCAGATTGTCCTGCTCTGCACACACTCTGATGGAATTTGGTTAGGGAAAGGAAGGGAGAGTTCTGGGAGGTTGTCCTGTTCTGGTACAGGCAAGAACGGTCAGGGAGTTGGCAAGAAGACTTGATTTCAGAGCTCATGGGACTTGAGGGACCCACTGTGGTTAGAGTGGCATTTGAGGGCTCTTGGGCCCCTCGTCCCCTCATCCCTGCAGTGCCCTCATATTCCCAGAACTCACAGGCACTCCAGGTGACTCTGGAGTACCCCATCCAACCCACAGCAGAGCTCAAGGAGGGCAACAGGAGGAGGTTGGCTCCAGCCATGCACCTGCCACCATCACTTTTTGCCCTCATTCCTGGCATAGGTTTGCTTCTTTTACAGCTTTCTCCTGTGGGTAAAAGTTCAGCCCGGTTTCCAGGCTCTCCAGGGCAGGTGGATGCAGATGCCTCCTCTCTCCCATGGCTATATAAGGATCCCAGCAGATGAGCCTCCAAAGCTGGAGCGAGGTGGTCCCTGATGTGTGATATCAGATGTCCCCCTGACCAGTGGCTCACCTTACAGATGATACCAACAGCATCTCTGGGATTCTCTCTATTGAAAGCAAAATGCAGCATAGCTGTTGTCACTCTGCTGCTTTAGTATTTCTCTGTTGTTGACCTGGCCTTCGAAAACCGGCCCCAACAATTGCTGTTAGAAGAATAATTTATCGCAAAGATGCCAAATAATTGTGTTTATCTCCTGTCCTAGGTGACCTCTATGGGGCTATTGGATCACCCGTGAGATTAGCAAAAACAGTTGTGGTTGGCAAAAGGCATGACCTGGTCCAGAGATTGCTTTACTTCCTCACATACTTCATCAGATGCTCTGAACTTCAAGAGACACATCTTCTGGAGAACGGGGAAGACGAGGCCATCGTCATGCCCGGCACTGTTATCACTACCACGCTGGAGAAAGGAGAAGTGGAGGAGTCCGAGTATGTGCTCGTCACAATGCACAAGAACAGGGGCAACCTGCTGCCCACGGAGCCTGAGGAGACGAGAGCTCCCAACTGCAGTTGTAAATACTGCAAATGTCCCCCTTCCCTCGCACAGAACATCGAAGGTGTTTCACAGCTGGAGCGAGAGGACCCGCAGAGCACTCCCAAGGGAGAGCTGGAGGCCTCCTCTGATGAGAGCAGGACCATCGTCGCTGAGGACGGGCAGGAGGAGGCTGTGGATGGGAACCAGCCGAGGCCCTGCGCGGACCCCAAGCTGGAGGCCGTGGTGTGCGCGGGCTCGGCCCCTCCCGAGGCGCGTGGGGGGACAGAGGGCGGCTCTGAGGGCGCGGGGCAGGCGTGGGGGGGCTCGGAGGGGCTGGAGCCGGGCAGCCCCGTGGGCGGGGGCACCCGCGCCGCCGGCGAGAAGAAGCCTCCCGACAAGCTCTTCTGCGACGCCTTCCCGCGCGGCGCCGAGGCCCAGACAAAGGTGACTTTCCTCATCGGAGATTCCATGTCACCTGACTCAGACATCGAGCTGAGGAGTCAGGCAGTAGTGGAACAAATTGCCAGGCATCACAGCCCGCCAGCAGCGGAGGCAGCAGTGTCTGCTGATCAGAACTGTGAAGCTAAACAAACTGTTGAGGACCAAAATAGAGACTGTGGGACAGCTGAACCCTTTCCTCAAGTTGCTAGTGAGCATCAGAGCTGGAACCCAAACCCGTGCAGTGCTGAGAGCATGAGCCTGTTTGACGAGTATTTCCCTGATGACAGTTCAGTTGAAACCCGGACTATTGATGATATTCCAGGGCAAGCAGCTACGGACCTTCTTGCTCGCAACAGTAGTTTAGAATTTTCTAAAAAGCTGTGTACAAAGGCTTGCAAACCACCTAGTGAATTTTGTAAATTCATGGACTCTGTTCGACAAGAGACCTACAAAAACTGCTTTAATGAGCAGGACCAAAGAGAGAAAATCTCTATTCGTGTCCCCCATGGGGACAGAGAAAACGTAGAGAAAAAAGTCGCCCCGGGAATTGATTGGGACATTCCAAGAAATGAGAGTTCAGACAGTGCCCTGGGGGACAGCGAGAGCGAGGATACAGGCCACGATCTGACTAGACTGGGCAGTAACTATTATGGAGGAGAGCAAGAGGATTGGGCAGAGGAATATGAGATTCCCTTCCCTGGGTAAGTACTGTTCAGCAGCAACACAGCCTAAAAAAGATGGAGCCTTTCCTCATGTCACATGTTCAGAGGACTGCAGCCTAACTTGGCATCAGGCTTGGAAAAGTGTCTCTTGAGCTTGCTGGTTGTTAAGGAATAGGGAGAGATCAGTGGTCTGGAAAAAAGTATTAATTGTGCATTGTGATCTTGGCTTGTGTTCTCTGGTTCCATGACTGCAAAAGCTGACTTGAAACTCCTTAAAAAGTGCTTGAATGGAAGTTAGAAGAGCTATGATACAAGTGGAAATGGAGCCTCTCTGCAAGCTGAATTTGCTGTTTATTGCTGTCCATCTCTTTGATATGCCTTTCTTGCAGGTCAAAATTAGTTGAAGTGAACTCTGTCCAGCCCAGTATTGCCAATTTTGGAAGATCCCTACTAGGAGGCTACTGTTCATCTTATGTCCCCGACTTTGTTTTGCAAGGAATAGGAAGTGATGAGAAGCTGAGACACTGTTTGGTGTCAGATTTGTCTCATGCTGTGCAGGTAATTAAGCTATATTTGCTAAATGTATTTCTCACAGTAGGGAAAGGTAAATGTTTTTGAACATACAAACCTGCTGGTAGTGGAAATATTTACCGTCGCAGCTGCTGGCATGTCTCCCCAGTCCCAGGTCACCAGTTTTTTCCTCCTCTCTCAATTCATGTATCTGAAAAACGGGGGTATTTCACTGCAGATCTGGATCACAAAAGATCAGAGTCCCGCTGAAGCCAGCTGGGAGGCCCTTGCCTTGGGAAGATGGATCTTGGTGCTAAGCCATGGAGGAATCATCGTCTGCTGTAGGCATGGCAGGTGATGGTTGTGTCCCCACAGGATGGGATGATGTTAAACAAGCCCAGAAGCTGAGGTTGTGCATCTCTTCCTGGGTTGCTGCAGAGGGGCTTTGCTCCCTCCTCTGTCCCTGCATGTCTGACCAATGTGCTTGAGCAGCAGAACGTGTGCTCTCCATGGTTAAGCCACCAGGAATGTTTATTATTTTGGGGACATTTCCCCTTCTTTAGGCTTGTAGTCCATGTGTCCAGTGGTGATGGCTTCACTGGAAAAGGAGAAGCCAATGTAAAGATCATTGTCCAAAGGGGACTTGTGCTGCTCACGTGTGCTGGAGATCATCTCTTCTCCTCAGAAGCTTTTCCCTGGCTGAACTGGGGCAGGACTGGGAAGAGTGGTATTTCCCACCTCTTTGTATATACCACCTCCTGGTATTTCCCCAGGAAAGGAGTGGAAAGCAGATTGTCACTGAAAAGTGTGATTCTGCTCCTCTCTAGCTTATTCCCAAGGGAATGGGGAAAACCCCAGATGTGCACAGACTGGGGAGCAGCCGCTTTCCTGAGAGCCTTCAGAACATCCCCTTTTTCCATCTTCTCACATTAACAATGTGCATCAGACCTGTGACTCCTCCCCACGTTCCCATCTCCTTTCCTTGTGCCCAGCTGCACAGGGAGCGAGTTTTGCTCCCTGGGTGGTTGTTTCAGGGGCTGGTTTAAGCCAAATGTTTAAGCCATTTGGGAAGTGTAATTGAATTTCAGGCAAGAGAGGCAGCAGCGTGAGGTACCTGCTGCTGTGGGACAGATGTGGCTGAAACACAGTCTGGCTGAGCCAGATTTTTCTGCTTCTCTTCAAGTACAGCAGTAACTGCATCCCAGCACTGTGTGAGGTCTCTGTGGGACTCTTTGGAAGGAGGTGCTTCCCAACAGTCCAGGCCAAAAAACGTATTAGGGAAGGACAGCGAGTTTCTAAATCCTCCCTTTTTCAACCCCCTGTTCACGGCTTGGGAGAGGTGCAGCAGCAGCTGGAAGGAATGGCAAGGCACAGGCTTGGTTCCTGACTCCCTCTGCTGGCCTCCCATGAAGGGAAACCAGAGACAACTGGGAGTGACCCGACCTCGTTAACTCAGCCGTGCTGAACAGCGTGTTGGATTTTTGGTACTTTCCGTTTTAGGAGTTTGAAATACGCTTTAGATATGTCAAACATCAAAATATGCAACTGTTGGCCAGTGACACACTTTTTGAGCCTGGGAGAGAAGGCAGAATAGCCACTGTCCCTCTGAGACTGTGCCTTGCTCCCCAAACCCCTCTGTTTAATGGATGGAGTGCAGTGTGGGTACATGTGACTGGATTTTAGGGGGAGCAGTGTCTGGGGTGCTCTCCTGCTCTCCAGGATGGTGATGTCTTGTGAAAAGACCATTGTCATTTGTCGTTCTCAGGGTTCTGCTCTTCCTTTTGTGTTCCCAGCACCCTGTTCTGGACGAGCCCATTGCAGAGGCCGTCTGCATTATTGCAGACACGGACAAGTGGACGGTGCAAGTGGCCAGCAGCCAGAGAAGAATGATTGACAACAAACTGGGAAAAGAAGTGTTAGTCTCCAGTCTCGTCTCCAACCTGCTTCATTCCACTCTTCAGCTTTACAAGCATAATTTATCTCCAAACTTTGTAAGTCTGAATGGCAGTCGAGAGGGTGATGGTTTTAAAGCAGGAGGTATAAGATTCTGCCTGGTGTTTGTATCTGTAGCCACAATTTTAGTGGCCAGTGCATCCTCTGGTGTAGCTGTTTGAGCTGCCTATTGAAATGCCATTCTGTAATCAAAACAGCTGCCTCATTAATTCTAATTTAACATGTAATCAAAGGCTCCTGCTCCAAAGCAAGAGTTCTGCCAGTGAATCTCTCTCCTAGACACAAGCACAGAACAGGCAACGGGCATGTGGGGTCTGTGCTGCTCTGCTGTGAGGCCGCTTTGGTTCAGATGGAGCACTGTCTGCCCTGACACAACTCCCTTTGCTTTCTAGTGTGTGATGCACCTGGAGGATCGGCTGCAGGAGCTCTACTTCAAAAGCAAGATGCTGTCTGAGTATCTCAAGGGCCAGATGAGAGTCCACGTGAAGGAGCTGGGCGTGGTGCTGGGGTACGGTCACAAACACCCTGGGTGTCCTGCTGCCAGTGCTCTGCCTGGGCTTGTTCTAAGCACAGCAAAGTGGATTCCCAAGTGGGACTGGAACTCATAAGTTATCCATGGCCACAGGCTTCTGCTTAGCCACTGCCTGATGCCAAGGATCCCCCAGCCTGTGCCTTCCCCCCGGGCAGGAAGATGGGCTCAGCACTCTGGAGCTTATCAGGCTCCCTCCTTAGGGGGTCAGTCACCTCTCAACAACGTGGGCACCTGATTCCCCCAGGTTGGCTTTCCCCAGTGTGGCAGAAAACACCCTCTGTGTCACGTAAGGCACACCATACCTCTCTGTGGGTGTGGGGCACAGGCACAGGAGCTATTTCAGGGGTGTTTATAGGAAGGCAGAGCAGGGCAGGGTGAGCAGGAAGGCACACGGAGCACGTGTGGTGCTGGAGCTGGGGGAGCAGCTGCAGCTGCCACTACTTGAGCCCAGTCCTCTGCTCCTGCACTGTGTCCCCAACTGTTCCTGCCTTTACTGGGAGCTTAGGAAGGAACTGGGGGTTTTTCCTCCCTCCGTTTGCTTCCTCACCAGTTTGTTGGTGCTGTGGAACCCCTGCAGACAGGCAGGAGCTGAGGCAGCGCTGACAGAGCATGAGCAGGCACAGCTGGAGGGTGTTGGGAGCAGCCTGGCAGCTGCAGAGTGTAACCCACGGCCCAGGAGCAGAGGCTGAGCGGGCTCCGTGGGCACTGACACGTGCTCAGCCCCGCGAGGGTTCGGGCTGGGTTAAACGTGACTCTTGTGCTTCCTTCCAGGATCGAATCCAGCGACCTCCCTCTGCTGGCAGCTGTAGCGAGCACTCACTCTCCCTACGTTGCCCAGATCCTGCTTTAACGTGCCAGAGGCCACGGACTTCAACTCTTTGCCTCTCTGGAAACAAAGTGGAAGACAACTTGTTCTGGCTCCTTTCTCTTCGCAGCAATTCAAACAAACTGCTGGTTGAGCTGCAGCACCTCCATAAATGACTGCACAGGGTGCAAACAGCTGGAGACTTCTCCTCTCCCACTCGGCCATTGATAGAAAAGGACAAAGAAAGGAATCGAGAAAACTGAGTCAGCCCAAGCTTTCAGCCACGGAAAAGTGAAGATTTTAGCAAAGCTGAAGATGTGCATTTTGTAGCAGTTTCTGCCACAATGGCTGACTGTGACTTACACTGGGGAAGGCAGGAAGAACTGCTCTGAGAAACACGTGATGCCATCACCCCTTAGGAACTGAACAGGAGAGAGCAGCTGCTGCCTCCAGCCCGGCTTCAGCTGAGGAGGAGCTCCCTGGGATCTGATTCTCAAGCTGCGATGATTTGTAAACAACTCCTACTTTTTCATGTCACAGTCCAGTTCTGGATTCTTCCCAGAGGAAGGACGGGGCCCGGGTTGTTTTGCAAAAGGTTTATTAGTGACAGCTCCAGAATTTATTTATGATCTTTCTCCTGGGAAGAGGGAAAAGCAGGGGACAGAGGGGGACAGGGAGGAGGGAGGAAGAGGCCAACAGACAAACTAGCGATGGAGATCCTTGGCTGGATGCTGTAACCAGTGTTAAATGTTTATAATGTTTAAATGTTGCTTTATACTAAGTGATGCTTTTCTTCCACAACGTAATCAAAATGTTAAAAACAAAAATAATCTAAAGAGAATGTTGGCTGAAATTTCCCCACGGGGTCCCCAGAATGACACGACAATTACCTCTAACTTTTTTATGATCTGTAATGTTCTTGCAACACCATATTCTTTTTACAGCAGTCAGTCAGCCAGCTATTGAAATAATGAACTAGAAATAATTGTACCAAAGCACTGGGGACAAAATGAGTAGACTATTACCCTTAATTGCTCAGGTAACTAATTGATATATTTTTTAAAACCATTCTACAAGAAAAAAATGAACATTGATTACACCATAGTGTAGTAATATCCAAATTATTTTTTGACAAATATACCCTGCAGATGACTCTAATCCCTTTTCTACTCACTCGTGTAATTACCAGCAGGAAATGTTGTTTATTTTATTCTCAGCATTTCTCTTTTACTCAGCCATCACTGGTTTGTCATTATATATACAAAAGTTGTACGAGTAGCTGATGGACCCAACCTGGTGTAAGTCATGTAAATAGACAGTGGGAGGTGGATTATGTTTTCAAAGGCTCTACTACCTCAGTTTAACTGGACACTTCATTCTGGGCTTTGCTTTGCATATTTGTCCTGGCAGCCAATTAATGTTGCTGATTTTTAGCTTCTGTTTTCATTGATTACGTTCAGTATATTGAGTTTCATGGATTATCCTCACAAGTAGGAGACAGGTATTCCCTTGGTGGCTAAACTCTGCAAGAAATCCTATAAATCATTTTGTGATCATCCCTCCCACGGCACAGCACGCCTGCTGTTGGTGTTTGCAGAGTTACTTCATATACAGATCTGTTTTAACCATTTGATAAACTTGAAAAGAATAGGGGAGATCCCTGCCCCCCACCACTGTCAGCGACAGAACTCTCCTCCCTTCCCTCTCTGGGGCCAGGATTCACCCAGGGTGGTTCTTCAGCGCTGTTTAAAATCTGTTCCAGGGACATGGCCCAGCAGAGCCACCCCAGCCAGGAGGTGACCCCAGCATTAACCCAGGAGTGTCCCTGGGAACCTGTGTGCACAAAATCTGACTGCTGCAGGGAAGAAACTCGTGCTTGATGTGTGACCCAAGGATTTGTTTCTCCCCTGGTTTTCAGATGTCCTTTCCTCGCCACACAATTGTGTTCCTCTGGTTTTCGGAAGGAGCACGGAACAGGGCCCGTTGTGTAAACAGTTTGTAAGGAGCTACAGGGCTGAGCTCTGGGGCTGTGGAACTGCTGGCTGGGTGTGTGCTGGGGGCAGTGGTGCCACCCTGAGCTGTGCACAGACTGCTGGGGGGGCCTGGCCGTGTCAGCACCGATGGGGAGGGAGCTGGGGGTGTGTTCCCTCCTTGGGTGGGTTTGTCTGCAGCAGAGCCCAGAGAGCTGGGCAGCTGCCCCCTGAGCCTGGCACCCCCAGGACTGAGCGTGCAGAGACCCTGACAGGAGAACTGTGTCCTCCTCTGAGCCGGTGCTGTGCCAGCTGGGGTTGCTGGAGATGGGTTTGACTCTCCAGAAAGGCCCTGGCACGGCTTGAAATTGGTATTAATGTGAGAGGGGAAGGAGGTGGCTGTTGGGTGGCACCTTCTGCGCTGTCCTGTGCCCGCTGCTGCTGGTCTGTGGTGCTGAGGATGTGCTCAGCCAGTCCCAGCTGGAGCAGCCTGGGATGCAGCTCCCTCGGCGTCCTCCCCCGTGCCGGGCCCTCCTCTCAGCAGCACTGTGGGCAGAACACAACCAAAGCCCTCGTGGCATGGCAAGTTGTCCTGTGAGATCATTTTTTTGGGTACATGAACAATGTGGTACGTATGTCTGTTTGTTAAACAACACAAAAAGGGATTTTTACAGGCTAGAGCGTCGACCTTTTAAAATATATCGCGATTGTTTTATGTGAATAGAGAACTAATGTTTGATTTCTTTTTTCCACTGTTCCCAATCTCCATTATTAACATGTCTTAATTTTCTGGCTGAAAACTAAGTGTACTAGAAACACAAATTAGCAAATTTGGTTTTGTTGCAATTGGCAAACACTGGGCTGCTAAGAACAAAAACTGTTTAAAAGAACAGATTTTACACCTTGCATACGTTTTCCCTATTAGTTCTTAGAGATGTTTTATGAGGATTTTTTGCTTTCTCTAAATTATTTAGATGGTGGTACTTGTAAAATGCTGGGTAAAATGTACATACTTGTTATCTCTTCTGTTTTTGTATATATTTCCCAAGATGTGCACTTGTATTATAATAACCATTCCCAATTTTAGGGGAAATTTGTGCAATAAATACAGTATGTCAATTTACTTCTGGTACCTTTTGTGTCCCTTTTTTATGCATGTGGTATGAGAGCATTGGTGAGTGTGTGAACCAGAACCGTCTCCTTATTAAAGTTCAAATTGTGATAGCAGTGCTGCCAAGAAAAGTGAAGTGATAATCATACAACAGGAAAAAGAATTAACTTAGGAAGACGTAGCAGAGCACAGAAATGAGGCTTTAGAGCATCTCAGTTAAATCAGGTGCTCCCAAAGAGGGGGAAAAGTACAAGCAGGAGATGAAATCCTTTGTCTGAAGCAGCTGCATCTTGTATTTGTGATAAATGCTGTGGTGGTTTCCTCTCTGGCAGGTTCCTTCCCCAGGAGCCCCACCAGCCCGAGGTGCAGGACAGGCAGGGGCAGGCGGGGTCATTGTCCCCCAGCCCTGTCCTGCAGTGCCCAGCTGTGGGCAGGAGATGCCTCGTGTGGCACAGGAGCCTTCCAGGATTTCCACCTGCACCTGCCAAGGCTGTCCTGTGAAAGGTTCCTGTGAAAGGTGACTGTGACTCAGTGCTTGGTTCCATCTCTGGGAGGAATGAAAGCCCCAGAGCAACTCTGAGAGCTGCCCTGGAACACCTCTGAGAGCTGCCCTGGAACACCTCTGAGAGCTGCCCTGGAACACCTCTGAGAGCTGCCCTGGAACACCTCTGAGAGCTGCCCTGGAACACCTCTGAGAGCTGCCCTGGAACACCTCTGAGAGCTGCCCTGGAACACCACCCAGAGCTGCCCTGGAACACCACCCAGAGCTGCCCTGGAACACCACCCAGAGCGGCCCCCACAGCAGGGATGAATCGCTCAGCCCGTTCTCCGTTCCCATCCCAAGCAGCCCTGTGTCAGTGTGGGTGAGTCAGTATGGATGTACTAACAGAACCATTGCCTTTCAATCCTGATAACACAGGGGTTCCTTGCTGGCCTGGTGTTCCTGTGCCCTGACGGATTCCCAAGGCAGAGCCTGCGGTCCCACAGCAGCGCTGGAGCTGAGGAGAGGGCAGCTCCAGCAGAACCTGCAGCAGGAGATGCTCAGCTTGAGCTGGGAGCAGGTGAGGCTGTGCCTGGGACGCTGGGGACGTGCCCTGTGCACTGCCAGACCTCCTGCAGGGCGAGTGCACCTGACAGGGCAGAGAATTCAGTGTTACCAGAGTCGATGGTCATGAGGGGTCCTCCTGACAGGGATGGGTAGCTGGAGTCAGTTGTCTGGGGGGGTGTTTGGCAGTGATGATGTATGTTCAGCACTATAATCACTGCAGCATCCAGAAAACACTGATGCTAATGCCTGGAATTGATTTCCTTTCTAACTCTCCAGCTAGACTGGGACATAGCACTTGCTAGACAGTATTTTTAATGTATTGTTACTTCTTTTCTATAATTCTCTTAATTTTCCTGAAACAAAGGGGAAAGCTAATTTCCTTTGCTGAGGCAAAAGCAGGAAGGGAGCCACAGGCACCTGAGTCTCTCATCCCTTGTGTGATTCCCAGGGGTTTGCAGGAGAAGGGATGATTCTTTTCTGTGTGGCTCAGTGCAGAGGAACCACAGGATGATTTCTGGATCCAGGGATGGGAAGCAGCTCGCTGTGTTGGCTGCACAGAAGCAAAGAGCTCCTAACAGCTCTCTGCTGAGCTGCTGTTGCTTTCTTCTCTCTTAAACATTCATCGTTAAAAAATACTGGCCTTGTAGCGGGAGGTAAAATGAGCAGAGGGCCTGGAGATGCACGTGTCTTCTGAGTGTCTGTGCTGCAAAGAACATCTCTGTTTATGTGCTGCAGCGTTCACATTCTGTTCCAGCCATGCCCTCATTTATTTCAGGGTGCAGGAGCAGTAACAGGCTCCTCACACCGCCCCTGCAGCCTTCCTGCCTTCCCTCCACACAAAAACATCGTCCTGGCTGTTGCTACAGGCAAATCTAAACACACCAGTGCTCGGGGTTTTGGAAAGTGTTGCCGTGTTGGCTGGGGATGTTGCTTTACTGGAATCAGCGCTTTTCCGCTCTGACAGTCGAAGAACCACAAGTTGAAATCCTGAGGGATCTGCCCAGGCCTTTGGAGCAGCATCTGGTTCCCAGCAGCGGAGTCTTTGCTTTGGGAGCCCGCTGGCAGAGGAGCTGGCAGGTAAATCAGCTGTGCCCAGCGTGCCTGGTGGCTCCCTAAAGGGGTGCTGATTCTCCCCTCGCTGGGGTCAGTGGGGAGGAGCAGACCCTGCAGGGCAGCTCAGCACCGAGGGACAGGGTGAGGGGTCCTGCCCCGATGGCACAGAAAGTGCCAGCACGGAGCATCCCATGGAGCTGTGGATCCCCCCAGGAACCCGGCTGAGGAGCTGGCACGGGGGGTTGTGTGCTGGAGCTGGGGCTCTCCTTCCCCCCAGGGACCACTGCTGGGCAGCGTTTCCTGCCCCAGCAATGCCCGCTGGCCATCCTGCAGGGCTGGACCTGCCGTGTGGCCTCTGGGAATGAGCGGCCTCCTGTGAGCCGTCACCCTGTGTCACCCGCTTGCTCTTGCTCAGGCCCTCTGCTCCCTGGCAGCTCATCTCCTCCTAGGAGCATAGTAGCAGGAGGCAGCATGTTACTCCCATGTCTCTGTTTATTTTCATTACCCAAAATATTTGTACAGCGGCAGAACTTGATTTCCAATCCTCTGTGTGTTCCAGCTGTTCGTTCCCAGCTGGAGCTGAAGACATCTGCTCCCAGGGTGGGGATCACTGCCTGAGCTCCTGCCTTCAGCTGCGCTCCCGAGAACCAGCTGCACCCGGGCACAGAGGGCTCTCACTGGTGCTTCTGGCACAGAGGAGGAAGTGCAGAAGGCAGGCAGGGACAGCAAGGAGCTGGTCCTGTGCTTTGGGATGTCACTGCTGAGGAAAGGCTACCTGGAGCACATCAGCAGAGGTTTTGGTGAGGCACCTGGAGCACATCAGCAGTGGTTTTGGTGAGGCACCTGGAGCACATCAGCAGTGGTTTTGGTGAGGTGCCTGGCAGCACCTCCTGTTGTGAGCTCAGAGGACAGGACGGTGCCACAGCCCCTTCCTGGCCGTGACGGTGGTGCCCGTGGGCTGAACGCCAGCGCTGGGCACTTCCCCTGTCCTGTACCTGTTGCTCAAAGCTGTGTGGGTTGAGCAATGCCCTCAGTGGCCGGTAGCTCTGTGGGCAGGGTAGCTCTGTGGGCAGGGTAGCTCTGTGGGCAGGGCA